GGGTGTCCGCGGGGTTTTAAAAAGTATTAAAAGTTGATAAATCAATTTAGCGAAAATGAAGGCTATTAAAAAGTATTAAACGGCATTTTCCAAGGTATTACATTTTGTAGCTTGTTTTCAATAAGTATATAAATTGTCCAAAGAGGTTGTATTCTACAGTCTGCCTGAATGTAATCATTGCGTAGGTGTGTAGTGTGATTCTGTGTAGTTTATTTATGGCATCCCGTTGGATTTGACGTCATCTGAACAGGACATCGCACGCTCACTGCTTGATAGCGTGCGAAGGTCCGTTTACGCCGGTTGTTAAACATCGTTATGGGGAAATGCAAGTTTGCGTCCAAATGGTTGGAAGATAAGGAGGAAGGACAATCAATACTGTATATAGTAAATGTGAGGTAAAGTGTGTCGCCAATGTAACCGGTTAGAACTCGAAGTGGTGATGAGGTCTTAAAATGTATGGAAAGGGTCTTAAAAAAGGTCTTAAAATGTATTACATTTGACTTCAGGATTCCTGCATATACCCTGAATTAACTAAAAGCTTTTAAGACAATCAATGATTTTCTTTTTGATTTTCTTCTCTTAGCAGAGGTTTTATACAAAAAAAACTTCCAGAGGTTTACTCCAACTTCCTGAAGTCAAGAGATGAAATGATAGGAGACTCCTTTTAAATGCTGTTCTTAATGTTAATAGCTACAAGAAAGTTATAACAAACAGCGCCCTCTACTGGACAAACATTGTGACCAAGACACTTTTTTGTGTCTCTATCAGCTGATAATGTTAGCTCTACTCTTAAGGCCCTGACACACCGAGCCGATTTCGGCCGTCGATAGATGTCTGGCCGTCGATGAGCGTCCTGTCGCCCTACCCAGCAAAAGAAATCACTCTGATTGGCTGTTCAGCTTAGCGAATCAGTGCATGAGAAGCGAAACGGAAGTGAAGAAGGCACACACAGACGGCTATTATTTTTCATTTTCCAGTACCGCACTAAACATGTTTTCGATTATAAGTCGTTATGTGAAACAGTCTGTGATGGACGAAAGTGAAAATGGAACGCACGCTATTTGTTGTTTGTGTATTTCACGCAGTCTGTCTTCCGGTTGCCTCTTTTGAATTAAGAATACACACTTCCGCCGCTTGCTGGTAAGGAGAGTTATTGCCACTCACGCATGCGCAGTGCGTACGTGCTACTTGGCCGTCGGCTGAAGTCTTTGCGGTGTGAACTTCCAGTGTGACTTTTTGGCCAATACGCAGGAGACGTGAGGCGACACAACAATCGGGTCCTTCGGGACGTGTTCTTTGGTGTCAATTTGGTGTGTCAGGGCCTTTAAATGTACTTAAATATGTACTTAAATATATTGGTGTGTTTCTCCCCCTCAGGCGGAGTACTCAGAGCTGGTGGAGGCCCTCCTGTCGTCGCAGAGAGACGCTGTCATCTACCAGCGCCTGGCCGACGCCTTCAACAAGCTGACGGCCAGCAGCAGCCCCCCCACCATGGACCGCAAACAGAAGGTGGCGTTCCTGAAGAGCCTGGAGGAGTTCGTGTCCAACGTGGGGGGGGCTGCTCTGCGTCAAATAACCACTGGAAACCTCCGCCTGGGACCCTGTCTGTTGTTCTTTTGCATTTTAAAGAAACCAATCAATAGATGAATGATTTAAATTCATTTTTTAAACAAATCAATAAAAGATCCCCCCCTGCTCCGCCTCTAAGAACTCTGGGTAGCCGAGGCAGCTGGAGGGATCCATCACACTGAATGTTTACCCGCTTCTCAACTCCTCGGATTTCTCTTTTTTTGTATTTTTCCTCCCGCCCCTCGAGCATGATTGACAGACTTAGTGATGAAGATGATGAAGATATGCTGACATGGAGACTAAAGTGCAAAGCAGACGGACTCTTTAGAGGATTCCTGGAGAAATGTTCACCTTAGTGACAAAAAGAGGAGATGGAGCACCACACACACACACAGAGACACAGACACACACACGAGTGACATTGAGGGTAGAAAAAGTTTCAGTTTTTGATAAATGAAGGAGATGTTTATTTTCAGAGTGAGGTTTTTTTAGTTGAAAGTATTAAAAAGGGGCCATTTTGTTTCAAGAATGCCATGGCATACACACACTTCATTTTAACAGTAACACACACACCGCCCCAATCCTTCCCAGAGTGCCTTTGTTTTGATGATTGTTCTGTGTGTGCAGATTTTGGTTTGTCACACACCAACTGACAAAAGAACTGTGCCTGCCATTCGCCGAGAATAAAGGGGGTGCACACACACACACAAAAACACACACACACACAGAAACACATACACACACGTGTGATGAGGGTATGGCCGGTCTTTGGAGTTGCTGAAAGACGCGGCACAGGAGGACAGAAAACCAAAATCAGATTCACTAAAGGGTGTAAATATATATAATGTTTTCAAATCTACGAGAAATGTTTTTTCAAAGACAAAAAAAAAACATGACGGAAATGTTTTTATATGCCAGTTAATTGGCAGGGAGAGATGTACGAGTTCAGCGTTGTATAAAGTTCAGATGAAGAGGGAGCGACTCTGTTTTGACCTTTTTTTTTTTGCAGTTTGATATGTTTTCTCTACTTTGGGTCGTAGTATTATATTGCAGCGTCCTCCCTCTGGGACTCAAAGGCTCGGGTCTCTTTAAAGTTTAGCAGATTTAACTTCAGTAGTATTTTTCTACAGCAGCACACACACCGACGTTTCACTCTTCAACACACTGGATGGAAAGCAGTTTGAGCTGAAGGACAGCAATAACAAACCAAATAAAAAGGAGCAGAGCCACCTCCGCGTTCAGAGCCTAGACTGGTTATTGTTAGAAGACTGTTTTGTTAAAGAAGTGTAAAAGTGTACATAAACTTATTGTATAAAATGTCCTGGCCTCTGCTGCTTTCTTTACACTGGTGTCATGTGTGGTCTTTTATCTATTTCAGTAATAAATGTTATTGTTCCTATCCTCATATTGGCATTTCGGCTACCATACACATAGGGTGTCCGGGGGGTCTGAAAAAGTATTAAAAGTTGATGAATCAATTTAGCGAAAATTAAGGCTATTAAAAAGTATTAAACGGCATTTTCCAAGGTATTACATTTTGTAGCTTGTTTTCAATAAATTGTCCAAAGAGGTTGTATTTTAAAGTGTGCCTGAATGTAATCATTGCGTAGGTGTGTAGTGTGATTCTGTGTAGTTTATTCATGGCATCCCGTTGGATTAGACATCATCTGAACAGGACATTGCACGCTCACTGCTTGATAGCGTGCGAAGGTCCGTTTACGCCGGTTGTTAAAGGTCCCATGTCATGCTTTTCCGGTTATTACCCGTCCCCTTGTGTGTTTATGAAGGTTTTTCTGCATGTAAACGGTCTGCAGAGTCAAAAACCCTCAAAGTACACCCTGTAGCGAGTAAAACTCTAACACAGAAAGACCTGTCTATGCTGCCCCAGAACGCCTCGTTGGAGATTTCTCATTTTCCATTGTTTGCTTCCTGGGTTCTGTGACGTGTGAACACCCAAATCAACAACAAGTGGACCAATCCGCGGAGCACCTCACACACCAGGATCCCTTGGCTAACTAACAGGGAGTCCCATTGACTTGCATAGAGCTCCCTGAACGCTGGTAATAGATGAGTTGGGATCGTGGAGAAATGCTCTCCACAGACCCATTCTCACAGCGTTATAAACCTTTTTCTTACTCAATATCAAGCCACACTTATTGTTTTTACTTCGGCTGTGAGTGTTTGTGTGTGCTCAGGATGAGTTTCGCTGTGTCTCTCTGTATCGCCGACACGGAAACCTGTCCGCTCCTCGCAGCAGCAACAAGCCTCGCAACGTCCCGACCAATCAGAGCACACTGGGCTCACAGGGAGGGGGGGGGCAGGAGCTCCAACAAGCCGTTTAGGACAGAGAGTGAATACACATACTATACAGAGATGCTGTATGAGAAACCAATGTGATTTTGGAAAATTGCACAATTTAAATCTATTCTAGTAGACCTCAACAATGGAAATATATCAGTAGTCATGACATGGGACCTTTAAACAACATCGTTATGGGGAAATGCAAGTTTGCGTCCAAATGGTTGGAAGATAAGGAGGAAGGACAATCAATACTGTATATAGTAAATGTGAGGTAAAGTGTGTCGCCAATGTAACCGGTTAAAGCTCCAAGTGGCGATGAGGTCTTAAAATGTATGGAAAGGGTCTTAAAAAAAGGTCTTAAAAGGTATTACATTTGACTTCAGGATTCCTGCATATACCCTGATACAGCAAGCAGCTATTCTTCAGAAGCATATAGAGGAGAAATATATACTTTCTACTCTCCAATGAAATAGATAACTTAACAGTGGAGGAAAACATCTGATTATTTACTTAAATAACATGCTCTTACATGTAAAGGTTCTGAATTAAAGATGATTACTAAGTAAAAACCATGTAAGTATAATCAGAAATCATTTTAGCTCTACTTACTACTCTTCCTGAGAAGTTTACTTTATAATAAAACTTCCATTTCCAACTTCTTAACTTTATAAACTAAATTAGCTTCAGATTTGTTTTTGTGAATTGCTTGGAAATGCAATATTGACCTCAGATGTATTGTAATACAATTAGAAAGTGGCTTGAAAGTCAAGTTAGACTACCTAAAGTGTGTACTTCATTATAGTCCTTGAGTTATTTAACCAAATTGCACCAAACGCCTTGAATTTAGATATTATTTATAGAGTTTAAAATGTTTTTCTCAGGATTCGCAGATCACTTTTTCATATTCTTCTAAGGTTTGATTTCCTGCACCCTAGTGTATTTTGTGGCAAAGTAGTTCTTAATCTAAATTCATAAAGATATCTATAGTGTATTTTACTACAGATGACAAGTAAACAGCCTGTGTGTTTTTCGGCTGGCGATAATGTAAAATCAATTGAAGTTAGTGTGTTGTCCATAGACTGTATATATAAAGGTGTTGTCCTATGTCAAAAGCAGCCGTACCACGTCATCACGCTGCGACTAGAACTCACATGTCCACAACACAGCAGCAGCGATTCTGATCAGGTTTGTAGCTTTTACATTATTTTAAAACTGTTACTTTTGTGTGTATGTTGTAACAAGCACATAGTTCATCTGTGAAGTTAACTGTATTTAATCCGCAGTTTATTATCAGAACAGAAAGCGACGATCTTCGCGGTCTTTCATTCATTTATTTAAAGGCAACATCAGTGCTGGAAGAAGTATTCAGATATTAAACACAAGTTAAAGTAGAAATACTACAAAACTACAATACATACTACAGTGTAAACAAACTATTTTACAAGCGACACTCCTGCATTTAAAGTGTAAGCATCATAATGTGCTAAAAGTACCAAACGAAAAATACTCTTTATGGAGAATGACCCATTTCAGAATAAAATGTACATTCAATTATTGTTCATTACTTTTGATTCATGCATGTACTGCTGGTGAAGGTGGAGCTAATCGTAACTACTTAACAAAGAGCTGTGCATCATAATTGTATATGTTGTATTCATAATCGGAATCTGCAAAGCTGTCAAATAAATATGTAGTGGAGTAGAAGTACAATATCTGCCTCTGAATTTAGTGAAGTAGAAGCATAGTGTATCAGGAAATAAACAACAACTCAAGAACAATTTAGGGGAAGCTGTTACATTATACACCATTTAGTTATTTTATATATGTCTCTTGCCTTTGCACCAACAAACCAAAGGAAGTTCCTGGCATGTGCAAACCAACTTCAGAATCTGATTTATTGCAGAGATTGAAGGTTATGCCTAAATGAGAAATACATCTCCAAATGTTGAATAAATATGAACATGTTTATTTAGCTATAATACAGTTTTATCATGTCAAGTCTACTACAAGTTAACAAATAATAATTAATTTAATATTTGCACGCTAAAGGCTCTTTGAGCAGGTTTTCTCTCAGTGATTGTGCTGTAATGTTAAATGTTTGTTGTTCATGTATTGCGTCTTGATATTTGTCCATGTTGAAGTTACACATGGAGCTACTGTGATGCAAGTCACATTTCAGACTTGATCTGACAAATAAAGTGTTATCGTATCGTAATATCTCAGATTTCTAACAAGTTACCTACCAGCTTAACTGAACCAGCCAAAATAAAATCAATTTTCAACCTATTTTTTTTTGTTTCAGGATTTGTGTTCCTTTTATCCTTCATCCTGGTCTTCCTCACCATGAGTGACAGTGACGAAGACGCCCCGGCGCTGTCCGCTCACACGCTGGCCGCCCTGCAGGACTTCTACAGGGACACCAGCAGCAGCTCAGCATCAGACCAGTTCACTGTGGGGGCCGTGGGGGAGGACTGGGTGAGTCCAGGGAGACACACACACGACTGACATGTGACGTGTTTGATTCAGAAGGGATGATCAAAATAATGTACAGTATGTAGCACAAGTTTACAATGTGCTTCAGAGACAGAGAAAGTGTAAAATACAGTGCAACTAAGAGCAAGAGGAAAACAAATGGGGATTAATATTAAGAATCAGAATACCTTTATTAGTCCCACAGAGGGGAAATGTACATTGTTACAGCAGAAAAGAGCCAAAGACAGCTTAATGTTACCTAAGAAGCATGCATAAAAAAGTGTTAAAGATACAGAAATTATAATAAAATAAGTTACAAAATACACATCCTGTAACAGTTCTGAGGATCTAGCAGCCAGGAAGAAAAAAAACTCAATGTAAAAATACCCAATAACATTTTTTAAATAACGTAAATGTTCAGGGAGACAGAAACACTAGTGACATGTTCTCTGTTTGATTCAGAAGAGATGATCATTTAATCTTGATGTACAGTATGTGGCTCTTTTCAAAAACAAGTTTACGAAGTGCTTCAGAGACAGAGACGGTGTGAAATACTTCTTGCACTATTTTTTATTTGTATTTTTGTATTTTATTATATATGTTGCAACGTTGGAGGAGTTCAGGTCAGAAGACTTTCATTGCCATTTCTACACTGTAGCTTTGTGTATATGACAATAAAACCTTTGAATCTTGAATCTAAGAGCAAGAGGGAAAAAAAACGGGGATAAATATTTAGAAGACATCCGGGAAAAATGTAAAAATACCCAATAACATTTTTAAATTAAAGTACATTTTTTTTAAATATATATTTAAAACACTACATCTTTTGTGAACTTTAAATGTCAGTCTTGGCACGAGGTCATTAATCCATTATTGGTCAGGTTTAAAGTGAAACTCTGTATAGTTTAAAGCACATGTGTCAAACTGAAGGCCCGGGGGCCAAATCCGGCCCTTGGTGGATTTAATTTCGGACCGCAGGATAATTTCTAATAACTATTAGATCTGGCCCTCCGGTATATTGCACGCACACCTTCACTCAATCCTGAGGGTCTCCTCAGCTCAGAGCCTGACCCCAAACATTGCACACTGAGTTTCAATGGATGTTTCCTTCTGCACTTTTTCTCTCACGACAACAGGGCATGTTTGGTTTTTTCTTTGAGGGAAATAGTTTTTTTGAAGCTGTTGTTGGCCTGTGGAAAAATGTAATCATAAGAAATGACTCCGGAAAAGCTTCAGATAGAGCCATAAGAAATGAATGCAACTGATTATTTAATGTTTAATGTTGTTTTTATAGGCAATAATTTAAGCTTAGTTAGTTCCAGGTTTAATATGTGCAATAAGTTCATTTCAATAAGTTTTGCAATAAACATTGAACCAGTCCGGCCCTCGACTAGTACCCATTTTTTGGCCCACTGTGTATTTGAGTTTGACACCCCTGATTTATAGCATGCGATCAGATGAACTGATGTAACGTTGTTGATCAGTTATTAAAGTTCAGAGTGTTAGTAGTAATTGTCTGTGTTTCTGCAGAGCCTGAGTCAGTTCTGGTACAGTGACGAGACGGCAGCTCAGCTAGCAGAGGAGGCCGTACGGGAGGCTGGAGAGGGAGGCAGGTAAAAACACACACACACACGCACACGCACACACACACACACATACATACATACATACATACATACATACATACATACCCATACATACATACATACACATACATACACACACACACACACACACACACACACACACACACACACACACACACACACACACACACACACACACACACACACACACACACACACTTCATTTAATGAAGTACTGTTCTATTTGTTTTTACACTTTCCACGCCATAAAACATTGTTATGAGGTCCTTTACAATAACCTTCATGACTACAGTGTCTTTTTATGAAATACTATACTATGACTTTGATGATAAACAATATGATACATTTGCATTAAATCTAAGCTTCTCGTCGAGGGCGTTGTTTAATACTCACATTCTGCTGCCTTTGTTTTCTTGTCTATTTTCTGATTTTGTGTATAAACAATGATATTTCTCTTCTATGATGGATTGATTCTGAACATTGGTGCAAAATGGCAGCTGCAGAAAGAAAGTCCTCTCTCTGCTTCTGGGAAATCAATCAATCACAACCAGACATTAAAGCTTCATCTCCTATGTCTGTCTCTCTTCCCCTGCAGGATAGCGTGTGTGAGCGCTCCCAGTGTTTACCAGAAGCTGAAGCAGGGCTCGGTGTCCGGCTCTGATCGAGTGTCGGCCGTCGTGTTGGAGTACGACCGGCGCTTCTCCACGTACGGCGAGGACTTCCTGTTCTACGACTACAACGAGCCGCTGGCCCTCTCCAACGCGCCGCCGCAGAGCTTCGACTTCGTCATCGCCGACCCGCCGTACCTCTCAGAGGAATGTCTGACTAAAGTGGCCCAAACCGTGAAGTACCTGAGCAAAGGCAAAGTGCTGCTGTGCACAGGTGAGAGGGGGGGGGACTTTTTATTACAATATAAAGTCACAAAGACGATTTATTTAAGATAAATCTGTGACAGAGACTAAACACAATGGACTGCAGTTTGAGAGACTCTTCTAAAAAACATTTAATCTGCTGTGAGATAAAAACGTTTTTAAAGATTTAATATCCAATAATTACACACTTGTGTTTCAATAAGACTAGACCTATGATAAAGATTTGGTTGAATGATGTACTCTCATTATCCCTAATGTTTCACCGTGTCACAAATGTCTGATTCTTAACATCTGATGTTTTTACTCTACAGGAGCCATCATGGAGAAAGTGGCCAAAGAGCTTCTGGATGTGAAAATGTGCAGCTTCCTGCCAAAACACAACAAAAACTTATCCAACGAGTTTCGCTGTTTCGTCAACTATCCGTCTCGACTGCTGTCCTGAGCCTCTGATTGGTCCAGAGAGAGAGAGAGAGCATGAAGGAGGGGGGACGACTTGGACTGATCCTGAACTTGTGAATGAAGGACTCAAAGATGAACAAATACTTCGTCATCTGCTGGCTAAAAACAGTTATTCAAAACATGGAAAATGTTGGTTAGTAGTTTCTGTTAGTATTCAAGCAAAAAAACAGCAAATATTTGGTGGTTCAGTTTCTCAAATGTTTTTAATATCATTTTTAATTAAATATATTTTACCATGAATCTTTGACTGTAGAAAATGACGATGGACATATTCAAATGTTTTACTAAATTCTTCTGTTGTTGTAAAAGCTGCTGTGAAGTTTTTTTATTTAAGTGTGAAAACCGTTTTTACATCAGTAGGTGGCAGCATTGATCAGGTTATAGGTGATAATGAGACATTTTATCCCATCGTTCAATATTCGTTTGCTTTTACTTTTAAAAGGTTGGGTCCACCCAAATTACAAATAATGTTCTCATGTATTGTATTCGATCTTAAATGCACACGGTTTACTTTTTCCTGCATTTTGCTTGCACCATTGTTTAAATTGTGCTGTTTTTATTGCACTACTTTTCTTCCTTATTTCTATGACAGTTCATTGTCAAAAACTGCACTGTAACGTTTGAGCATTTGACAATGAAGCTTGAATCTTTGTAGTCAAGAAATCATCAAGTTTGGGTTCTCGAAGGCCAAATCCAAGTTTAGATTAAAGTGGTCTGGATATAAAATCTTATTTAGGAACGAAACAGACACAAAAACTGACCTTATTTACTTCTATGTGAAGATCAGAAACTCCGTGCTAAACCCTTTATCATCCAAATAGTCCCTATGACTGTTAATGATAGCTTCTTATTTGCAGGTACAATTAAATTAAATTGCTTCAAATGTCAGTTGGTGGAAGATGATGACCCAAAGAAAGTGGGTCAGGTGTATAAAACTCATCCAGAGTCCCACACTCTGCTCCTTCACACCTTCCTCCCCTTGGACCCGGCCTTGCTCTCGGCTCTCTTCAGGCTCTGGTTGCCCGCCACCTCCCTATCTTTCTCCTGCAGGGGGACGCAGGTGCAGCCCACCGCGATGGAGACGTACACTTCGGTGTATGAGTGTCTCCCCCCCAAACAGGACCCGGCTCTCCGCAGGATGACGGAGGGCGCGTACACCGGGGTGCTCCGGTAGCGCAAGCTCTCCTTCCCGTAGGGCCCGAACAGGCAGCCCGTGCACAGGCAGTACGCCTCCGGGATGTAGCGGGGGTACCGGGCTGGGTCGTAGGAGATCCTGGGGTGAAAACAATTAACATATCAGTTTTTCATTGGGTCACCTTATTGCTATTGAAAGGAAATGGGACTTTTCAATGAAGAAACTGCAGAACCTTAATCATGGTGCAGTCAGTGTAGTTATCAAATGCTACATGAGTTGGAGTCACTGAGACTCAAGAAATGGAAGCAATTGAAAAAAAATCTATACTTTTCAATAAAGAACAGCAGAATTTTCATAAAATTACTCAAATAAAGAAGTGCGTTGTAATTTGTAATCATATCTGGCATGGCATGGAAGTTAACAGGTCCCATAATATGGAAGCTGTTTAAAGGAAATGAGACTTAGGACTAAAGAATATATTATGTGTATAATAACATTCAAATAAAATAGAAGAAATCCAATAAAGTCGTGTGTCCTACATGTCCAGTGTAATAATACATTTCTGCATTGATATTGGGTCAAATGATATTGCCTGCAAATGATATGGAAGCTTTACAAATAAGTAAAAGTGATTTTCTGCATACAAATATTCGGCAGAAGAAACACTAAAATCCAATAAAAAGAGGTGTGTCTTAATTGACCAGTGAAGTCATAATATCTGTTTTGGATTAGGAGCCAAAAGATCACAAGACACGGAAGCATATATTTAAAAGAAAATATACTGATGAACATATTCACATACAATTGAAAAATAACACTAACATCCCAAAAGGAAAGGTGTGTCTTGTTTGTCCAGTGTAATAGTTATAAGGTCACATGACATTCTATGTCTATTGAAAAAACTGAAATGATCCTCCATTAATATTTATGTAAATCAATCACCCAGTTTAAACGGTTATTTATTGATGGTCCAACAACAGCATATTATCCCCCTGCTCTCACCGGTAGGCCCAGGGGGAGATGCTGAGCAGGTTCACCGAGAGGCGGGTCTTGCGGTCGGCGGGAGCGCGTGCTGCTGCGGCCGGGCACGTGAGGTTGAGTTTTTCCTGCGGCTCGAGCTCCAGCGCGTGGTGGAAAGCGCTCATCACTCCAACAGAGAGTCGCCCGAACATCTGCTCCAGGATCTCCTCCGGGAGGTCCAGGCAAGACCGGTTCCTGGTGGCTTTCTTCCGGACCCGAACCGCCCCGAGCGGCCAGCCCAGCAGCAGCAGCAGCAGCACGAGGATCCGTGGAGGAAACATGGAGATGTGGTGTGCCAAAAACTCAAAAAGTTTACCTGCGCGCTTTTATCGTCTTTGATTTTCTTGAATATGAAGATTTAAAAGTATGACTCCAGTTGAAGCTACTTCCCTCGGTTATAATCCAGTGAAATGTTGGAGTGTCACAGTCACAGTCCACATCTTGGACACCGAGGCACATGCGCGCCGCCATGGACACTGTGGAAACATTTTGGCACAACTCGTCCTCAGGGCCGCCAGGTGTAATAATTGACTCAGAATGAGAAATAATTACCGAGTTGCAAGTTTCACACTTCCCGTTTCAGCTAACTGTTAAGAAAAAAATGCCAACAAGAGTGTTTTCATGCTGCTTTTCTCCTCCGAAGTGTGCGTAAAGTTTTAAAAAAATCGTAACTGCGCACTGAAACCACTTGATCCATCGAGCAGGACGAGTTTAAATCACACTGAAGGACACACTGATAGAGTCCAGTCGCACTCCGGTGATAAAAGAGGCCGGAGTGGGAGAGAGTGGGAAGTCCAGACTGCTGGCTCTCTCTCTGCTGGATCCTGGCTTCACACCAGAGTTTACTTCACTCCACTCAAGATAAACTAGATCCAGTTTTAACAACCTCTTCTGTCCGCTCCGGTTTCACAAAGAAATTATCACCTCTAGTTCAAACCATTAATACATACAACTCATGTTTAACTGTTTTAAAAAGCCCATTGTAGTGTCTTTCTTCTGTCAAAGACCCCATTACTGCCTGTCACTTTTTTATGATGTGCAGCATTCAGATTTATGTGAGGAAAAAGCTTTAAAATATGATTCATATAAAAAGACAGTTAGAGCATAACTCAATACAGTTTACCCTTCACTAAATCTTTGGTTGGATTTGTGTGATTTTATTTATTGCAAGTCGCTGTGGATAGAGAGTTAGCTAAATGCAAAGGAATGTAAAAATGTAATCTGTTTGGAAAACGTCACAAAAATAACTCCCAGACACACATTCATGGCTTTATCTGAAAGTAATTATGCACAGAATGAGAGTTTGGTTTTGAATAGATAAAATACTTTATTTTTAAAATTATATAACAAACAAAAATAAATATTATACTACATATAAACATTTTTGGAATAAGTATAAAATGTAAAACCAAACAGGACCAGAAATGGATGGATTACATAAGTTGTTGATGTATTTTCCAGAAGGTTCCCAGGCTCACACACACATGGAAACACACACTTTAGTTGAAAATATTTCGACAGCGATATGTTACTCCTTGTTTTGGCTCTGTGCCCAAACACTGGGTTCAAAATAAAAAAATAAAAAAAAAGTAACATTGAGGTTAAAATGCAGACTTAAAATAAAGACCTTGTTTACCCCTGGGAGTACAGCATGTCCAAAAGGTGTATCATTTCCAAACACTTCATCAGAACCCAATGTAAACACAGTCAAACTGAAGTTAAACGTCAACACTTTCAATGCATTGGGATTGTTTCTTACATTTCAAGTTCATTCTGTTGGAGTACATAGCCAAAACAAAATGTCAAAATATTTCCAGACTGCCAGACTCCTTTCCATTCATTTCATATACACAGGCCTTCCTCTGCCAAATGAATATGTATAAATATTGATGTTAAAAAAGGATGTTTATCAAGCAGATTTAAGGCAGAGATGAGCGATCTGAAAAGAGATAAAGACATCTCACTTCTTAACTCAGAAGTGGAAAAGTCACATCTTTATCTAATAATATTCATTTCACAGAGTATAAAATGCTTTGGTCTTGGGGTCTAGTTTGTGCTCTTGCCTTTCATAAAAAGGTGACAGTCAGAAGGAGTTACTCCGGCAGCAGGTCGTCTCCCAGCTCCTCGTCTGCGAAGTCGTCGTCCTCCACGCGTCTCTTGGCTCCCGTCTTCGGTCTCTCCATCTGCGGCCCCAGAGGGTCCACGTAGGACGCATCTGCACCAGAGGAACACAAGCTTTACTCAGTATCAACATGTCCTGAGTCCCGCTTACTGATAACATTTGGTCTTAGAAGTTAAACTATTATACTGTCTTTCATCAATATATTATAGGTGTTCCTCAAGGTTCGGTCTTGGGACCGACCCTTTTTACTATTTATATAAATGATGTGGGTAAAAGTATTGATGCCTCTGTACATCTATATGCAGATGATACTGTTGTGTACTGTTGTGCTAGCACTGTTGCCCTTGCATTTGAACGTCTGCAGTCTGCTTTTGACACTTTTCAGTCACATCTGTTCCACCTTAGGTTGGTGTTAAACTCAAATAAGACAAAAGTCATGTTGTTTTCCAATAAGAAAAGGTTACCAACTGTTCTTCCCTGCATCATGTCTGCACAGCATAACCCCATTGAAGCTGTTAACACCTACAGATACTTAGGCATCACTATAGATGAAAATCTCTGCTTCAAACCACATATTGACAATCTCTTAAGGAAATTGAAATTAAAACTGGGATTCTTTTTTAGAAATAAGGCCTGCTTCTCCACAAGTGCGAGGAAACGGCTTGTAGCTGCCACATTTTTGCCGCTCTTGGACTACGGGGATGTTGTGTACATGAACGCCTCAGCTCACTCCCTTCATCTGCTGGACGCTGTCTACCATGGGGCTCTGAGGTTCATAACCAACTGTAAACCCCTCACACACCATTGCACGCTGTACTCTTTAGTCAACTGGACATCATTATCAATGCGCAGATCACTGCACTGGTACAAATTCATCTATACAGCTATGCTTGGACTGCTGCCCCTCTACATATCCACTTACATATCACACAAACAGTACAGCTATAGCCTACGATCTCAAAATTACATCACTCTGTCCGTCCCCTCAGTTCGCACGGTGCTTGGGAAAAAAGCCATATCATACTCTGCCCCCTCGACCTGGAACACACTTCAGCAGGAACTTAAGCTGACCAGTTTGATACCCATCACGGATTTTAAACTAATTTTAAAAAAGCTGGAGAAATCATATGTGGGTGTTTGCACCTGCTATATCTGAATACTTTATATGGATTTCAATGACTACTTTTTTTACGATGTTGTATTTTAGTGTTGCCTCTGTGTTTAGTGTCCTGTCTGTCTGTAACTTTGTGTGGTAGTGTTACCACTGACAGGTCTCTCTTGGAAATGAGACCTTGTGTCTCAATGAGATTTTACACCTGTATAAATAAAGGCTAAATAAAAAATAAAATAGGTCTCAGATATATACAAACATGTCTCTGAAGTGTTTGGCTCCAAACACCAAACAGATCATTGCAGCATCCCATAATCCCCTCTGTTTCAGCCCTGTTTCCAAAGTGCTGATTCTCTGTCTGTTACTTCAGATGAAAATAAGGAGCCCCTCCCCACGCCCCTCTGAGAGATATTTGGTTAAAAAGAACACAATGGTGCTCTAGGAGGAGATTCAGGTGATAAGGTGGGGGGGGGTTACCTTGGTTGGTGATTGGCTAATGGTTACACAAGCCAACAAATCGTTATGACATCATAAAGTGGCCAAAATCTGATCAGCTCATTTTCAGACAGGTTTTTATAAAATGGATCAGGACAAAAAGAGAGAGAATCTTTTTTCCTGAAACTTTCAGAATCTCTTTACACAGAGGGGACACATGTTGATGTAGAAGAAGAGACATTGAAGAATAGAGGGGACACATGTTGATGTAGAAGAGACGTGAAGAAGAGGGGACACATGTTGATGTAGAAGAGACGTGAAGAAGAGGGGACACATGTTGATGTAGAAGAGACATGAAGAAGAGGGGACACATGTTGATGTAGAAGAGACATGAAGAAGAGGGGACACATGTTGATGTAGAAGAGACATGAGGAAGAGGGGACACATGTTGATGTATAACAGACGTGAACAAGTGGATTTTGCACAATAGGTGACCTTTAAAAAGCACACCTACATTCCTACCCTAGATTAACAAAGCGGTGAGTCACGGTGAGTGCATGCATTCAAGAGCTTCTTAATGTCGGCTGCTTGTGGCTGAACGTGATGCTGAATACACAAGAGGACATATTATGCTAATTGATGTGTTCTTATTAGTATGTTGTGCACTCTTGACTAAAATCCTCTGAATCAGAAAGCAGAAGTGTTGTAGAGGACATAGACAATTGTTTTTTTGTTGGTTTTTTTAGTAGGAAAAGAGAGATTGAGTTGAATAAAGAGTCTTCAGTTTAGGGCCTTTCATAAGTCATGTTACTGGATGAAAGTTGAAAACAGTTTAGTCTGATTGACTTTGATTGAATCAAACGGTTCACAGATAAAAGAGAATAAATGAGACGCAGTTTATTTGATGTAATTGGTTGCAGAAGAGAAGAGAGAGGACTTGTGATTCCTCACCTATTTCTTTTGGGCTGCTGGCCTCGTACGGCTCGTTGGATCCAGGAAGTGACCTCATCTTGGCGCTCAGACGCTCTCCTTTAGTGCTGCTGCTGTGGGCGCTGTCTGCACCAAACACACAAGCAAACACAAACTCAGGAAATGCTAATATGACTTACGCCCTGAAAAAAAGTCTTAATTTGATTAAAAAGGTGTTGAAAGGTTCCTCTAAGATGGACCAATTTCTGTAGTGACACTTTAACCTCATGCATATATACTTAACACTAAGCCATGCCATTATTCAGCAGAAGACTTTCACTCCCCAAGAGACACCGTTTATCAGAGAACAGCCGTCAGATATGAAAGGTCAGACTGAGTGTACGCTGGTTTTTCTCACATTTGGAAAAGTCAACATGGAGGAGATGTGAGAGAGAGAGACAGTAAGTTATGAAACGTCTGTGTATGTGGGGAATTTGTTTTTAGATGTATTGTTATTGTGGTTATATAAATGAAATTGATGGTGCTGTTGGATTCATTGCAGACCTTTAATACAGTCGCTGGCCTCCCTTTGCTAAATAAATGTATTTTTAGCACAGTGAAAAGTTGTTTTGGAAAGGCTGAACCTCAAGATATGTTTCCATCCGACTGAACGGAATAAGATATTAGCCATCATCCAAAATATAACAGTCCCTGCAACACAACTGTTACGACTGCACCTTGGCCAAAAAGTCAGAATAAATCAAATCTCACTTCTGCATGCAAGACATTTTGGACCTTTTTGAAGCCAATGCAGTAGCACTTCCATTGGTTTGGCTAATTTAAAGCAAATGTATATAGCTTTTGAGTTTTCATGGTTGAATGCACTGCTTGTAGGTCAATTTATAATGTAATAAAAGCAACAACTCGGGTCCTAACCCCCTCAGACAGAGAGCTGGTACTCTTTACGACACATGATGAATTTGTTTCAGAATGTGCGTCTGTGCTGCAGACTCTGATGACAGACTGAAGGACAGACAGTCAGCAGGAGCAAAACATCTGGCTGCCAGGTAGCGTTGGAAACGGACGAGAGGAAAAGCAAGAAAGCGGAAAAACAGGAAGGAGAAGGAGGCCAGATATGTGTCCGTTCCTCACGGCACTAAACATCTCACAAGAGCCTCACAAACTGCTGGAAACCTCTGCCGGAGAATCCTCCCTATTTCTTCTCCTATTGGTATTCACGATACACACCCGTTCAGAGACCAGGACGAGATGACACAACAGATTGGAAGCTAGGCTTGAAATCGACCGTGTAACAGTTTCCACATTAAAGCTGCAATGTTTTCATACGCCTCCACAGCACAAAGGCCATCTCTGTCAGGGGTGAATATCCATGAGTCAACTCTCTGGCTTTTGCACTTTCTGGCTCTTAAGTTATCTGGAAAGTACTTGGAGAATGGTTATTGTTAGTAATTAGCAGAGGGAGAGGGAGTATATACAAGTCAAGGGATTCAAAACTAGTGAAAAACGTTCAAAGACAAATGTTATTTAGGTTACATTTACCAACTTTCCCAGTTAAGGAAGATGCAGGGTTTGGACGCGTGAGAACCCCTCAGCCTTTTCACACACTCAGTTTACAGAGCTGGAACTGTGCAGCCTTTTCGGAAAAGAGGGAGAATTCTCAGGTGCTCTAGAGGTTTTCTCAAATATCCTCCTGTGAGAGAGTTCTGTGCAAACACTGATCGAGTCCAACATCACAGCTGCCTGTCGAGAGGTTTCTGGACCCGGTTCAAGTGTTTCAACCCAAACACTATACTTAGGTTTCTGAGGTTTACACACAGAAAAACACTCCTGCATTTCTCAGTCAGATGGTATCAAGGTGTGCAATGGATTTCAATGTATATCTTATAAAGAATGATTGTGCACATGCTGTTCTTTTGTATTATGTTAAGACACTGGAATACATCCAGAGAAAACGTGTTTGTTTTTCCATTTTTCTTCTATTTGAATGCGTCTCTTTCAATGAAGGAATAAATCAATCAACGATGCAGCTGAGTTTAAAAGCCAGGTTAGTATCATTGTTCTCCCTTTTTGTTATATGATAACATTTTAAGCACTTCTGACAGGAACATTGCAAAAGTAATGCATCATTGCATAAAATCCATTAGAACTTGCATGTTGGAAGTGACTTTGATTAATGAACGTTGTCGTTGATTAATGAACGTTGTAGTGTAATTTCACGTGTTACTGTGATGACAAAAAGGAGAGCCAAAATCATTTGGTTCAGTTAAAGATTATCAATTGTTATCAAAGACAAATGAGAAATTAAATCAAGCACGCTACGTTTTTTCTAAATGTCTGGTTGTCCAAGTGTTCCCCCAGAACTATCCTACAAGTTTTGCTTAAAGGGGACCTATCATGCAAAATGCACTTTTGCACGTCTTTTATACATGAATATGTGTCCCCGGTGTTCCAGGGAACTCACCAAGTGTCAGAAAACACAACCCTCTCTATTTTCCTCCATACCCAAATCTCTAAAAAAGGGGCTGCAACGGATCTGATAAAAACTGATCCAGATTTGAACACTGTCCTGACGTCAGGACGGTGGCGCTACGGCTATTGGGCCAACTCCACCAATCAGGAGGAGACAGCCACGGCCATTGCCGTTCGAAAGCGCTGGAGACGCTGTAGTACATATGCCAGGCCTGTAGGTGGTGCTGTTCTCACAGAATCAGCCCTTGCTAAAACAGGGCTAAAAAAGTGCAAATTGAGCAAAATGAGGCATGGCTAAAATGCATGATCTGTTTGGTATTTTGAAAAAAAAAAAGTATAAATATGCCTTATATTAGGTATGGTCCTACACTATATTATTAACATATAGCATGATAGGTCCACTTTAAATAATCTGTGTTGATGTCGTTACCTACCTCTCCCCGAGTCCAGCAGAGGACTGGTTTGTTGAGACTCAGGTTGAGATACTGAGCAGCAGAGAGGAAGCAGAGAGAGGACAGGTGAAGCCGGAGGAGCAGAAAGAGAGACAAAAGTTAAAGAGATTACAGCGCGTCACTAAAGCTCATTGCACACGGATAGAAAACCAAACAGCACAGAGAGGAAGAATTACAGAGAGCTGATGAGAACTATTTGTTGTCACTTTTATACCTTTCATTCTCTCACCTGCTTTAACATCCGTCTCTGGTGTGCCGTAAGAAAGTTAGAAAGGAATTGGGGGTTAATTAAAACAACGTCAAAAAGTGTTACAGCTGGTATTCAAGGGTACACATGATTGAAGGAGTTTTACTGTAACTGGATCTGGTAAAAGAAGACGTCAGTATGAAACAAAAAGCACACGCACATCTGAAGTGTTCTGATCTAATTCATCAGGACGGGGGGGACGGGGGGGGTAGTGTTGGCAGGGTGGAGCACACTAACAGGTGCATGATATAAACGTAACTTCACTACAGGACTCAGCTGAGAGGAGGGAGAAAGCTGCGCCTTGTTACAGTTTTTGGCAACTCAGACAGACTGGATCGCGTTTGAAATGTGCTGATGAGCCAGCTTTCCACAGCCAGATTCAGTGTGTGTGTGTGTGTGTGTGTGTGTGTGTGTGTGTGTGTGTGTGTGTGTGTGTGTGTGTGTGTGTGTGTGTGTGTGTGTGTGTGTGTGTGTGTGTGTGTGTGGTGAAGGAAGAAGGAGGGATCAAACTTAGAACAGTTTTCATTCTCAGACGTGAGCTAAGGCCTGAATCTCAGAGCTCTGATACAGACTTATAATGAAACAGGGCTGCACAATTAATCAGCATTATCTTCACTCATGCAGGAATTCAGGGAACCGAGGAAGATTTATATATTTGTATCTAAAGCGGAAAGATGTTCAACCTGCTGTTTGGAGTTAGACTGGGAGTTACGGCTCTAAATCTAAACAATGGCTCCTTTAAAGCACTTGAGGAGAAATCTGACTAACAGATACTGACTACATTCTCCTACTTCTGTATACTGGGCTCAGTGTGTTGTTTAGGAGTGTACCCATAATGGCGGCCTTCTTAGGAGAGGAGACAGACGAGGAGACGCCTGCTGTCCGGCAGCATGAGTGAACAACAGATACAAACAGAAGTGGGTCATACATGATAAAAAAAAATTGATTGATTGATATAAACTAAAACATGTGTGTAAATATGTGATCAGACCCTTTTAGCTGGACATGTTTTAACAATATTGATGATTCCTAACTTGTTTGTAGATACCAAAACTTGACATGTATTTCTTCCTTTATCTTAGGAGTACATACATGCTTTTTGTTTTGTTAAAACCAATCATCATTTTGAATGTAAGAGCATTCAATTCTGTCTAAAATATGTAACATTTGATTGAAATCAGAGACTGAAAGCAAGCAGTTATTAGTGCTTTGTGATACGGACACTTTTATAACTTTACCAAAGAAGTATCGAGTTTTTAAACATTTAACACTTCTCATGACAATAAAGTACATTTTTTGTAATTATCAGAGTTAGATTGGAGTGTGTTAAATGTCCCAGGTTTTCAAACTATACAAATGGAGAAGTTGCATATAAGTTGAACATGTTCAGACCAACACACAGCAGGAAGTCTGTATTTCACTGAGTCTCACCTGCGCTGCCCTCTCTGCGACCTCTGGAGTTGCTCTCTCGCCCCGACTTCACCCTCTGCAGGAGGAGAGAGAGAGAGGGAGAAGGATTAGGGACAATTAGGATTGAAATGCAAACAAGGACAAATCTTAATGGTGTTTAACTTGAAATATAATGTCTTTATCACAACTGTTTTTAATCAAATTACGTTTCTGTGGTGAGAAGACCAAAACATTTCATTCTAGATTTTTGGATTGTGACGACATCTTTTTCCAATGCTGAGGATTTTTATGTGTCTCTCCGTCTGTGTCTCATTAATAAGTCAGTCCAAAACAATTTTTATTAAAGTTATGTGGATTGTCATGGTAAAATAAGACATCTGAAATAAACAAAACATTAGATAGAGCAGGGTTTTAACCCTCCTTAATCATTCTCTCATAATTTCACACACAGTGCTGTTAAATGATCAGGATCAAGTCCAGTTATTTGGGAGATTGATGGATGAGTCAGAGCTCTGGCTCCGTCTCTCAGGATTGTTCCTCTCAGCTGATTTAAGAGCAGCTGCTGATCCTCCAACTCCGTCTCTGATGGCACACGCCTCTTGTTACTCTGAATCAAGCATGTCTTCAAAACTGACCCCAGACCACAGGCCTTTCGTGTACTATGGGTGTAGACCTTAAAGGTAGGGTAGGTAAGAATGGAGAAACCAGCTCGAGTGCGCTAGAATTTGAAAGTACACAACCGGAAAAAATCTGCCCCTTCCTTCAGACTTCCTTACAGAGCCCCTCCTCCAACACACACGAACGCACACATGACCAATGAGGGCACGAGATAAGTTTGTGCACAGATGGAAGGCTGACAGGCAGGTAGGCCATCCAGTTATTTTAGCCGGGCCGGCTCAGATGATTGGTCGCCACGGCTTCCACAGATGACATTTTTTTATGGATTTTTTGTCAAAGCATTTAATATATTCATTGCTATCGGGATGTTAAGAGCATTCCATGGAATATAACAAAAAGTGTTTCTGAAGGGAATTACCTACCCCACCATTAATTATTTAAAGCCACCATAGATAGACATGCAGAAATAATTTAATTTGGATGTGAAATTTGGGGCTTTTGAGTGATTTTTTCCCCCTCAGCTGAATGGAGTAAAAAGCACAATACAAAATAAAGCGAACAGATGTTTGATTATATTCCTGTGATCCTGGTATGATCAAATGAAGAAAAATTACATTGATTTCATACATAAAACTGTGTGTAGTAGTCTTGGGGAGTATTACTTATTAGATTAAATGTTTAAAGAAAAGTTGTATGAATGAAGCCTTTTTGTGGCTCCAAAGGGATCAGCATGACGTCTGATAAATGCCCTTAAATGATGTCACTTGAAGCAACAACCTTTAGGGCTAAAAACTAAGCATGAAATAATGTTCTGTATCATATATTTCCACTTTTCATATGTGCTGTCTTAGCAAGCACCAGACCTCATCTTTGCTTGAGGCTACGGTTCAAAGCTGCATTAGTTGTGGGCGGCCATCCGCAGTAAGTCAACTGCACATCACAATGTCAATGCTGAATATAAATTGGCAGCCCTAATTGGTATCTATCACAGTTACCAAAGAGTATCAGTTGTTTGCAGTTACTATCCCAGAAACAAGAAATGCCGGAGAGTGGAAAACCAAAGTTAGTGTGCAAAACAGTGTGCAGTGTGTTCTCTGTGTTGGTTGTTGCTAGGCTCTAAAAGGAAAGAGATAAAGCTGCCTTTGGGGTCAGCGTTCAAAACAATAATCCTTCTTGGAGATGCCAGAGGGGAAAAGTTGAAAAATGGTCCGTCGTTGAGAGTCTGGCGGTATTGAAGAAGTGAAATGGAAATGAAGGGAGTACTCTTTAAAGACAGAAACGATAACAAAGAATAGATACAGAGGAGAACGCAGCATTTTAGTGACTCTTTGCTGCACCAGAGTTCAATCCCAGACCGAAAGTATGTTGAAGAGTCTTGAACATAATCGCCCTCAGTGATGTAATGTTATCTTAAATGTCTGTTTCTCTGTTTTATGTCTTAAATCCTTGTCTTTGTTGACCCTGTAAATGGAGCTGCTATGATGTCAGACCTAATCCAACAGCAAAGTCACATCCTATCTTATTATCGTTATGTTGAAGCAGGCCTTGAAAGATAATATTCAGGGTGTACAGATTTGTGTCAAAACCAATCTGTTAAAGCAAGCAGTGTTTGCCAATCGCCAGACGAGCATATGTCTCCAGTTATTCTGGGTTTAGTATCATAAACACAGTCTTCGATTCAACCTTCGGAGAATACAGCATGATCATCTTTGCTGTCTATAATCAAACCACTTATTTAATCCCTTCAGATGTGTCAGGTGATACTGAATGTCTCTCCAAACACAACATCTGGTTTAAAATGACCCAGTATTTGTATCAGCCAGGTGTTGAACAGCTGTACAGCGTGTCCTCCGAACACAGCTTGATTCAGCTGCACTGGCCACCGACCCGTTTTATGGAAAAAGGACTCGTGTATGTTTTCAATTAGCGCTGGAACAGATGAGAGGACGCCAAGACGTGAGTGAGGAAAAGATGGTTAATGAAAGGGCTGAAATATATGACTGCTAAACAACACGGTCAGTTACGAGGCTGAATAATGTTAATATTATAAAGGTGAGTTACCCAGTTTAAATGTTTTCATCATTAATCTAGGCTGCTTGTGGTTATAAGATACATTTAGTTTTGCTTGTTGTGGTTTTCCCTCTCCTGTGGTCTGCTATGTAGGTTTATGTGCATGTAAATAAAGAAATAAAGAGCTTTTTGAACATTAAAGGATTTAAAAATGTCACAGTAGATGCACAACATACAGATATACACATAACAATGGGCATAGTAGGGCCCCTTTAAGTAAAGTCTGAAGTCAACATAACAGAGGTGTTTCAAATTAAACATTAACACATTAAATCATAAGTAGGTTATACCTTTTGATGCCAGTTGAAGCAACAACTTTTAGGGCTAAAAAACTAAGGGTTTAAACATGAAATAATGTTCTGTATCATATATTTCCACTTAGTATTTTTAATGTGTGCTGTCTTAGCAAGCACCAGACCTCATCTTTGCTTGAGGCTACGGTTCAAAGCTGCATTAGCCACTACTAGCTTATTACCTTCTGATGCATTTGGAGCCTTGGGAATTCAGAATATGTTTTATTTTATCTCCATCTTCAGCATTTAGCTTTCACTGATGTGTTCTTTTTCTTCAGTCCATTACCACAAAATTACAAATAAAACCATGTGATATCTTTATACAGGGTATATGCAGGAATCCTGAAGTCAAATGTAATCCTTTTTAAGACCCTTTCCATACATTTTAAGACCCTTTCCATACATTTTAAGACCTCATCGCCACTTCGAGTTACATTGGCGACACACTTTACCTCACATTTACTATATACAGTATTGATTGTCCTTCCTCCTTATCTTCCAACCATTTGGACGCAGACTTGCATTTCCCCATAACGATGCTGTTTAACAACCGGCGTAAACGGACCTTCGCGCGCTATCAAGCAGTGAGCGTGCGATGTCCTGTTCAGATGACGTCAAATCCAACGGGATGTCATAAATAAACTACACAGAATCACACTACACACCTACGCAATGATTACATTCAGGCAGACTGTAGAATACAACCTCTTTGGACAATTTAGATACTTATTGAAAACAAGCTACAAAATGTAATACCTTGGAAAATGCCGTTTGATACTTTTTAATAGCCTTCATTTTCGCTATATTGATTTATCAACTTTTAATACTTTTTAAGACCCCGCGGACACCCTGATATATCTAGTGTTTCTGTTAATGAGTTCTGTTTCTGCACTTTATGAAGTTAGCTATGACTATTCAGTGCTGTCATTTTAAAAAGATTTCTACCAACTATCCACCTCTTCAACAAACTGCAAATGTAAAAAACATAGCTTTCTGTGTCCCGTATCTTCCAAGGAAAGATCTATCAGACACAAAGTGATGACAACAGTACAAGCTTTTATAAACTACGGTACCTATTGAGTACATTCACTATCAGGTTGCAGCAGCTGGTGATACAACTTCAAAATAGATGTTTAATGACACAAAAAGGCTTTAACACTAGAACCGCCAACGGGTCAATTTTACCCGCAGCTGTTTTTTGATTGTATGTAACTTTTTTTCAATAAAATATTCAAGTCTCCCAGTCCGTGACTTTTCCTGAAAGTGTGTTATGTAGCACCCTCTGTTGTTACAAATTGTCAATATGAAGTCAGATTGAAAAAAATCGCAAAGAAAAAAATGACATTTATACCTATATCCGCCAATGGGTAATATTTACCTCATAGAAAATGCAGCGTAAACATGACGTGTTGCTATAGCAACGCCTTTTGTCTACTGCGGTTCCTTATAGAGAGATAGATTGAGAGAGAGAGAGAGAGAGAAGATGGGGAGGAGAGTAGAGAGAGGAAGAGAGAGAGAGAGAAGAGAGAGAGAGAGAGAGAGAGAGAGAGAGAAGAGAGAGAGAGAGAGAGAGAGAGCCGATAGAGACGAGAAGAGAGAGAGAAGAGGAGAGAGAGACGAGACAGAGACGAGAGAGAGAGATGAGAGGAGAGGAGAGAGAGAGACGAGAGAGAGAGAAGATTGAGAGAGAGAGAGAGCGAGGAGCGAGAGACGAGATAGATAGATGAGAGAAGATGAGATAGAGAGATGATAGATAGATAGGACGAGATGAGATAGAGATGATAGATAGAGAGATAGATAGATAGATAGATAGATAGATAGATAGATAGATAGATAGATAGATAGATAGATAGATAGATAGATAGATAGATAGATAGATAGATAGATAGATAGATAGATAGATAGATAGATAGATAGATAGTTATAGATAGATAGAGAGAGAGATTTGTACCTAAACAAAACACAAGTCTAATACCAAGCGTTTAAATCAGCACTGGTAGCGCTATTTTATACTTCATGCTATCTGCACAAACTATATCATATGAAAAGCTGAGAGTCCACAGATTCTATTGGTATAAGTTTCATCCCTGTGCGATCAAAACTCACTGTTCTTGTATGATAAATAAAAGAACATTGTACCTTGAAAATCAATAGCGGGTAAATTTGACCCGTTGGCGGTTTTAGGTATACAGCGGCCTCTGGCGGTTCTAGTGTTAAGAGGGAAGGAAAATAGCTTTTTAAAGGTAAAATGATTTACCTGCTCTCTGATCTCCTTCATCTTCTCCACTTTCTTCAGCTTGGTGGCGTATTCCTGGACTTCATTCAGTCCCATATCTGTGCACAGCCTCACCAGGAAACGCAGGCCTGGACAAACACACACAGGTTTTTTGTATTTGTTATAATCAGTGAATCTATCATCTGCTGTTGATCAAGAGTTCTGTTGGGAATTGTGGAACAAACAGGAAGAATTACATTCCACATTTTCTGGAAACTTTCGGTGAATGTCCTTATACGTTTCCAGAGCTTTCTGGTAGTTTCCTGAGAAGAAAAGAGAAAATGGATCAGTGTTTGTAACTCAAACTTAGGTCATTGCTAGTTCCGAGCACCATCTTCCATTTCAGATCCGCGAAGCTATTTCCGTTGAGTCCTTTGTTGAGATCTCCATATTAGGTTGAATAATTAAAACGAAAGTTAGTTATAACCAAATATAATCAATTATATTCTTGTATAACCCACAATGAAAATGCTTCATATTTTATGATTTTCTATATTTACAGTATACAAGTGGTTTGTTAAGTTGAGTGTAAGGCCTATTATGGTTTATGGGTGTCACTGATAAGAGAGAGGATACAGTTTCTTCCCTCTTCCCTCACAGCAGTACACAGGGAGGGGGGCTCCTGACTTTTTGGAGAAATACTAAGGCCCCAAAAATGTGTTTGTGCCATAGCCGAGAATAATATTTTGCAAGTCCTGCACACTAGAGGCCATGCCCAGTTTCCACAAATATGGGTATGGAGGAGGTGTCTTTAGGTTTTTCTGTCCTGTTTCGAGCATAAAAACACTAGCAGAGAGGGAGCAAACTCGAGGGGGGGGGGGGTTCCCCTGGTATGCTCTCTCTCCCGGTAAGCTATCTCCCTGGAGAGCTGGGTTTTCCCTCTGTAAGGTTCTCTCAAACTTGGTAAATAGGGAGGCTGTGACTCAGTGGATAGTGTGCTGGACTTCGAATCAGGGGATAGCAAGTTCGAGTCCCCCTGCAGTCAGCATGTCGTTGTGTCCCTGGGCAAGACACTTCACCCCAAATTGCTCCTGTGGGGATTGTCCACAGTACTGAATGTATGTAAGTGGATAAGGCGTCTAACAAATGACATGTAATTTAATGTAATGTAATGTAAATATTGCTCGAATTTCTTTGATGAAGCCGAGTGAATTGTTGGATGAAAGTTTGAAACTGTTAGATTCCACTGACCATTTACGAGGAACTGCCTCTGAATGTTGTCAGGCTATATAGGTGTGAATGTTAGCCCCGGCGATCCGTGAGGAGATTCCTTTGGATTATGTCGGAAGACTTTAATGTCAAAACTATGAATTAAGGTTTCAGATTAGAAAATTACCACAGCCTGATATGTTTTATATTATTGTCATATTGTAACGAGAGAAGGTAAAACCCTGTTCAAGTGTGGACCAATTTTTCTTCAAATAAACTGATCCCAGCTTTTGGATTGGGATAACTTAAAAGACATCTGCGCTCTCCTCTCCTGAAAGGAACGAAATGCACACTGCCACACTCACACTTAGGTAGGGCCAAGTACTGATATCAAAATCCTTCGGGTTTGCTTAAACAGACTTAGCGTGTCGTCTGAATTGAAACAACAGTTAATTGAACCTGGTTCTTCAGGAGTTAATAGAGTTGAGATCTTGCTGACCTCGGTGGATCTGAGCCAAGCAGTAAACTTACATAGACTTAATAACTTCTGTTAGGTCAATTAGTAGGTCTGAGTAATTTGCCGGATTAAATTATCAGGCCTCCCGACTCCGACACCTTTAAAAGCAAACTCAAAACCCAACTCTTCGCATCTGTCTTCCTTGTAAACTAGCTTCCATCACCTAGTTTCCGTTTATCATTACCATCACTTCAGTCACATGCTATTATCACATGGCAATACTTATGTTGATGTATATTGTTGTAAATGTTTTATAATTTTTATGCTATGACGTTTGTATTTTGTTTTTGTCTTTGCTTGCTTTGAACAGCCCTTTGAGGCATTTCTTGTGATTTGGGCCTATAATACATTTTGATTTGATTTGATTTAGTTAACTTAGGAACTGACGGTTATTTTTGCCTACATTTACCTCTTGAAGAGACAACTTAACTTTAGTTGATCCAGGGTATATGCAGGAATCCTGAAGTCAAATGTAATACCTTTTAAGACCTTTTTTAAGACCCTTTCCATACATTTTAAGACCTCATCGCCACTTCGAGTTTTAACCGGTTACCTTGGCGACACACTTTACCTCACATTTACTATATACAGTATTGATTGTCCTTCCTCCTTATCTTCCAACCATTTGGACGCAGACTTGCATTTCCCCATAACGATGTTGTTTAACAACCGGCGTAAACGGACCTTCGCGCGCTATCAAGCAGTGAGCGCGCGATGTCCTGTTCAGATGACGTCAAATCCAACGGGATGCCATAAATAAACTACACAGAATCACACTACACACCTACGCAATGATTACATTCAGGCAGACTGTAGAATACAACCTCTTTGGACAATTTATATACTTATTGAAAACAAGCTACCAAATGTAATACCTTGGAAAACGCCGTTTAATACTTTTTAATAGCCTTCATTTTCGCTAAATTGATTTATCAACTTTTATCAACCCCACGGACACCATGTGATCAGAATAAACCTTTATCAAATATAATAAGAAATGCAGCTTGTGGACATGATTACATTTAGTAATGTGGATTAGATATACTTTTCTGTGATGTGTATCATGCTATTTTACTATAATATGAATTATAAGGGAACATCTTACCACTTCTCCTGTAGCAGCTTGCCACCATCAGCTGCCACTTCACCTGAGTTGGTCTGAGGAAGACAACAAAATACATCCAGTCAGTAAAAACCCACTACTCTACCCAAAACGTAATTTAGATTGTTAAAAAAATATTATTAAAATTCCTTTTTGATTTCAGCTCGAAGGCAACAAAACAATTATCAGTCCTCTTTGTTCAAGAAGAAAGAAAAATGACTTCCAGATGAAAACACGCTTCATGGTTGATGAAAGAATACTATCACGGCAATCAAAACAAGATGAACTAAATCAGGAATCACATAATCAAGTCAGGAAAGAGGAGAAATTAAATATATTTCTCAAGATGAACTGTTGGGACTTGACTTCTGGCATTCATTCACATTTAATTTGCCAGTTTTTGAACATTCATTTTACACAGATGTATTTGGGCTGTTACTTATCATGCAATAACCTTTTAATAAAAAGTGGTTACATACTGTATGAGTGTGGCTCTTTCAAAGAACTGGATGGCCTTCTCACAGAACTGTGTCTCGATGTAGTAAGCCCCGAGCCACTCGATCACATCGATGTTGGAGGGGTAGTACCTGAAGGACTGGACAGCAGCACAACATCAGAGCACTGAACTCTGACAATATTGTTCAATGATAAATCTAGAAATGTAATTTTTTTTCATTTGTATCCGGTCATTGAGTCTTTGGATTAACTTAAAAATACATTTAAAAAGTGTATATGATTATATGAAAATGATAATAATTATAAATACTATAACAATTATAATGACTATTATCATAATTATCTTAATTATAAGTTTACATAAAAATAGGATGAGAAATGAAACTGTCTTGTTATCTGAACATGGACTTGTAGGAACTTATTTTTTATTCGTTTTACTTTATTTTCACCCTGGAAATGGGTGTATGTATGTATACAGTATGTGTACATATGTATGTTTACAATTGTGTTTATCTGTGTGAGTATTTAATTACGGAATGATCTTTTATTTAATTTATCCTGCAACAGGATGACTAACGGGAGGGCTACCTCTGTATCAGGGTCGGCGTCATGGGGGGGTCATTCGCGGGCCATGCCCCCCCAAACGAGTCACTGTGCTCCCCCAACGCAGGGCAGGCAAGCCCTGCCACTTTGCCTTTTTATTTTATTTTTTATCATATTATAAGTGAAAACGTTTCCACTAAATGTTTTTTGTGTGAAATAAATACAAATAAAAAACACAGCCTGAGGTGTGCTCACTGCTGCTCGTTGATTGGTGTGTTTGCTTGACCAATGACACCCAACCTTTGTTTTGTTGTCATTACGTGGCTGACTGTTTAGTTGTAAGCCCAGTGGCGATCTGTTCATCTGTTATACTGATTATACAGTAAAGCCATCAAAAGTAATATGATACAGTACAGTACAAGTACTCCTGGGTCTGTGTTTCATTCAAGCTCGGCTCTGTGTGTGTGTGGCACGAGCACATTTTGTTGTTGTTAGCATCTGGTTAGCTAGCTATGCTAACGGGTATAAAGAGCTGTTTCTACAACAAGTGTGGAGGAGAGTCCTCTCCTGTCAGACAGAGAGATAACTACAGCTCAGTGAGGTAAGGTGAGGACTCTGTCAGTGTTTAGATAGTTAACTTAAGTTATCTCAGTGGGTCTCAAACGGTTTGGTTACCATTTATGTAAACAATTATTTCCGAGGAACACCTTTATATGATCATTATAGCCTAGTTATAAAAAAATAAGAGAATAAATGAAGAACAGGTATGAAATACTTTATGACAGTAAAACAAGAATACAGTTTAAAAGGAGAGTGATTAGTAAAATATCCATAAAGAAAAATCTGTTTACAGTTCTGTTTCATATGGATGTTGAGAGATGTATCCATAGATCTCTTCATGTTGCTCTCAAAGTGCACCAGATTGATGTTTTAACTTCAATATTTAAAAGAAAATCTTCCCGGGGAGCATGCCCCCGGACCCCCCTAGAGGAGGTTAGGTCCACCCCCCACCTAAAACATGTTCATATGGATAGGATACTAAATACATTTGCACACTTTTTATATGGTGGCCTATATGTCCATATGTTTCTGTTTTGGTGGTCATGCCACAACCGTGCATGTATGCACAAGTCATAGGTGCGCTACAAAATAGCATTACACCCTGCAATGTGTGTGAAAACAAGAGACTTTACAGCATGTTTTGAAATTGAAGTCGTGTTTGTGTGTTGGTTGTTGAAGGCAGTGTGTGCCCCCCCCGTGGTAAATTATTTCCCCCCCCATTCGATTTGTTCTAGAGCCGACCCTGCTTCTGTATAAGCCTTGCTTTCTGCCCTCCAGCTTCTACTAATTTTGTTTGTTTTTTAGATGTATAAACTGTCTAAATTGTTGAAATAGTAGAATTAAAAAAATAATAATTATCTCTCACCTCGTAATAGTACTGGAAAGCCTGGGATTTGTCCCCCTCGCTATCGTAGAGCTCTCCCAGTTTGGCCAGTGCCTGGGGGTCGGTGTGAGTCACACTCAGGACCTGAATCAGCCACTCGATCGCCTGCTGGGGGTCCTCCAGAAGCTCATATCTGAAGCCAATGATTTAAGGACCAACAGATGCTCAACTGGGACTGGAAATAAATCAGGTTTGAATCCTTAAAGAAAAATGCATGGGAGCCAGAGTTCCATAGTTTCTGGGAAGGTGTTGATTTAAATGATTGGCTTTATTACAAGAAAAGTATGCTATATGATTGAGTTACATTCAATAACATCTGAGAAGGAAGGAGGGAGTGGATTAAGCGCGAACTTTGAGAAAATCTCGATTATCTCACGCTACAATAGTTTGAAGCATTAACAGACAAACATGTGACAGATATACCAGCAGGGCTCTCGGCTAACTTCTTTCACCATCCTCCCGGAACCGTCCCGAAATACAATCTAAGCCGTCCCGAAATTAATGTGGACCGTCCCGAATTTAAAATATTAGTTTTTCTACATTATCATTAGTTAAAATCATTCAAAGTGACCTTTAACATAAATAAAACATCATACAAATCATTAGATGATAATTCATCAACCTTTTTAATTGAGTAAATCAGTCAAACACATAAACAAAGGCCAAATATATTTAAAAAAAACACACAAGCGAGAAAGTTACTCTAATATTGAATCCAATCAAGTTCTATCCAATTATCAAAAACATCCAACACTCTGTCCTGAAGACAGAAGACAGAACCCAGAGTAACCACTAACCAGGATGACAGTCTGTAACACAGTCAGGAGACCTTTACAAACTGCCCCGCCCCCTCGCACACAGACGGGGGAGAGAGCTCTCTCGTCTGGATTGGAAAGATCGAAAATAAGATCGAAAATACATCATAGACGCATTTTGTAGACTTATTGCATATTAGAAACGGAGTTGGCGAAACTAAAACTGCGATATAATGTTCATGTAGCAATAATACATGACATATATGTTTTAAATGTCTCCACTACCGATAAAAAGTCAGATAACGTCGGAGCTTAACGCTACCACTGTCTTTAATAATTCCGGCCCGGGGCCCGTTTAATACCGGGGCTCGGTACCCATCCCTACATGGGGAGAGACGCAGCATATTGCTAAGGACTAAATACGATGGAGAGTTCTCATCTCAGCCTTATTACCCATAGGGGATGAAGAGGAGTTAGTAAATAAAGAGGCCGGCGCTCCAGGGTTAGGTTCTGCTGTGCGTTTTCGTGATGTAACGTAAACAATTGCAGAATTCCTCCACGGGATGCCATTGTCATTGTACATCACTCAACGCGAAATACACACACTCAGTACATAGCTAGACCCAATAATTTGCGGGCCAGGAGTTTGCGGGCACAGCTGTGTGTGTGTGTGTGTGTGTGTGTGTGTGTGTGTGTGTGTGTGTATTTCGCGGTTTGCTAAATGTTTTGTGCGTGTGTGTTTATGTTGACAAGGAGGTTTAATAACTGTGTGCTACACAAAACGTGCAGTCAGTTTCATTTTCATCGCCGTTCGTACTGTAGTAGAGTTATCAGGGTATTTTTATTTTAACTCTCGTCCCAAATTCGTCCCAAGATTATTTTTTATCCTCCCCGACCCTATTTTTTTCGGCCCCGGGACGACGGGACGTCCTTAAGCTCGAGCCCTGTATACCAGATGTCTTTTTTCATCAGTAGGATACAGGTTGGCCAGCTGGTACATGACCTGAGCGCTGTTCCTCAGGATGGCATGGAGCTTCAGGAAACAGTCCAGAGCCTCATCCAGACGGTTCAGTTTCTTATAGGTCAGACCTAGGAGTGGAAAGAGATTAAAAAAAAAAACTGTAAATTAACTTAAATATATTTAAACGTACTTCCGATGAGTTAATGTTCGTTATAAAGCTTTTTCTCCATGACTCCGACAAGATGAGATGGCACTGAAGTCCTAAAACATAAAATGTAAAAATATTAACAACCAATATTATCATGAAGAAAAAGACTATACTAAAAAAACATGTTTTATAAAATCACTTTACCAAATTTCTCTTTTTGCTAGTTAAAAGCTAAATCAGAGACAAATTTGACCCCATTTTAAAAGTCTAAAACTTGACTAAAAAAGGGGTTAAGTTTTTACTATTTCAACATAGTAAATATTACTAAGGATAGGAATAAAAAAATGCTTCTGTGATAACCACAATTCTTCCCCTGAAGAAGGCCACACATCAAGTCCTTACGATGTACTTTACAGTAGGTTGACATGTTCAGATGTATTCTTTGGAGAAATGTTTTTATGTTATTTGATTGAATCTAAATAAGATGTATACTCCTGCTCTGTGCTGCTGAACTTAGACTAACTTTGATCTGTTAAGAACATGATAAGACTTACAGCTAAGTGTATGAACTGACCAATCAGGAAAGCATTCTTGCAAAAATAAGAGGGAGCGTGATGTTGTCAAGCACTCGACTTGTTGGACATGAAACATGAACTGTATGATGGAGATGGATGTTACCCAGGTTGTAGAGGGCCTCGGTGCAGGAGGAATCGTTCCTCAGAGCTTCTTTGTAGAACTCTGCAGCCTTTTCATAGTCCTGCTTCACAAACACCGTGTTTCCTTTGTTGATGAGAGCGGCAGGGTTGTAGCGATCAGCCGTCATGGCGAGGTCAGCGTATCGGTCAGCCTGGTCATAATCTTTCTCCTGTAAGGGAGGAAATATAACACAGAAAAAAGCATGCGATAGATAATGAGGCCTGTAGTTCAAACATCATTTTAACACAAACGTTTATCTTCAAATGTTATCAACAGCAAACACCCACAGTGTCATTGAGCACTTAATCACTTTCAGTACAGATATATATAATGTCATTATGGTATAAAGCTTCTAAATGAATGTCAAACCCCGATTTTTACATATAAGAATGATCTGAAAGTCTTGAGATATGTCAATGAGAGGATCTTACCAGGAAGTAGAGGAAGGACAGGTTGGTGGCTGCAGCACTCTTCACTCTGCTGTCCTTCTTCTCAAATGTCTTCAGAGTCTCCACTGCCTGATAACACAGGATTACAAAAACGGTCAATTTATAGTTAAAGTAATACTGTATCAAGTAAGTAACAGCCCATTTCCCCAGTATGTAAAACACCTACAGACATTCAACAAACTGTGATGTGATCTAAAGCTCCTTGAACTCATTATGGTTTATACTGAGCCACTAGAGTGCCACAGTGACGCGTCCTAAAACCCGGAAGTACGTTAGCATTTTACCACTTCCGGTTCCTTCGACAAAAATGCAATGCAATTTCTCCATAGGATTTTGGAAAATAGCTGGAAATAAGGTCTGTGGTTGAGACACATTTAAGAGACGGATCACGTTTTGTTCTACGACATTAAATACATCAGCAGTGACCCCACTGGTGATTTTTTAAGAGTTGACGTGTCTGAAAAACGATGGTTGTTAACAAGTGGCTGAATAGGACTACAGAAGTTGTCAAGGCCGTTGTACGTCATTACACCGAACACGTAAACACTCCCGCTAAGTTAGTTTGCCCTGTTCTGCTTGAAAGCAAGTACCTGCCTCCTGCAAACTGTTCAAACAAACGCTTCAACTTGTACCATTTAGAATCTGTGTGTTTGAATATGGATCTTAAGTTGGCGTGACGTTGAAGCAGCGACCCTGCTGTAGTTCCTTTATAGCATAACGTTAGCATTTTGCTTCTGGCGATTAGATTTATGATTCGAAAATGATAAAAGTAGGGTAGACATGTGGAGATTATCCGGCTGAACAAAACGTGAGCCGTCTCTTAAATGTGTCTCAACCACAGACCTTATTTCCAGCTATTTTCCTAAATCCTATGGAGAAATTGCATTGCTTTTTTGTTGAAGGAACCGGGTTTTAGGTTTTAGGACGCGTCATTGTGGCACTCAATCGTTTTCTTAAATGCAAATGTAAAATTGAATTTTTTTTTATCAGACATGTAAATTTTGTAATTAAACTGTCCACATTTAACTATTGTTATGCCACTGTAGGCGCATTATATACTGTGGATATTGTATTGTGTAATAATTATTACAAACCCCTCACTAGGTTACACCACCGCCACGGTCTATCAACAGAATACAAGCACCACACACATGCATCAGATGTATAAGGAGCCCTAAAGTGTTGAATATTAAATACATAAATATATTTCTGAATATATAACCACGTGATTTTAAGGGAAAACATATCTACAGTCTAAATGTGAACATGTAAACAGAGGGCACACATACCTCAACCTTAGTCATGCAGATGGGAAGGAAACAAGACAAAAAGCAAAAGGGAATGGAGGGCAATGAGAAGGAAGTGAAACAGCATTAGCAGGAGAAAAAATACATATATAAACAATCGCTGGCCAATAAGTGTACGGAAACACTACTTTTTTTAAATCAGGGTATATGCAGGAATCCTGAAGTCAAACCTTTTAAGACCTTTTTTAAGACCCTTTCCATACATTTTAAGACCTCATCGCCACTTCGAGTTTTAACCGGTTACATTGGCGACACACTTTACTTTATACAGTATTGATTGTCCTTCCTCCTTATCTTCCAACCATTTGGACGCAGACTTGCATTTCCCCATAACGATGTTGTTTAACAACCGGCGTAAACGGACCTTCGCCCGCTATCAAGCAGTGAGCGTGCGATGTCCTGTTCAGATGACGTCAAACCCAACGGGATGCCATAAATAAACTACACAGAATCACACTACACACCTACGCAATGATTACATTCAGGCAGACTGTAGAATACAACCTCTTTGGACCATTTATATACTTATTGAAAACCAGCTACAAAATGTAATACCTTGGAAAATGCCGTTTAATACTTTTTAATAGCCTTAATTTTCGCTGAATTGATTTATCAACTTTTAATACTTTTTAAGACCCCGTGGACACTCATTGAATGGAAAAAAGATGGGAAAAAATATATAAAAGGACAACAAAGACCAGGTCAGCAAAATTTCACATTTGTGTGAAAGGGGAATACCACTCACTTTATCAATGAATAAATGTAGTTGCTACTCTGATACATTTATGGGCTGATCGTGCCCTTTTAAAGGTAGGGTAGGTAAGAATGGAGAAACCAGCTCGAGTGCGCCAGAATTGGAAAGTACACAACCGGAAAGAAATCTGCCCCTTCCTTCAGACTTCCTTACAGAGCCCCTCCTCCAACACACACGAACGCGCACATGACCAATGAGGGCATGAGATAAGTTTGTGCACAGATGGAAGGCTGACAGGCAGGAAGGCCATCCAGTTATTTTAGCCGGGCCGGCTCAGATGATTGGTCGTGCTTTTTACAGCGCCACGGCTTCCACAGATTACATTTTTTAATGTATTTATTGTCAAAGCATTTAATTTATTCATTGCTATCGGGATGTTAAGAGCATTCCATGGAATATAACAAAAAGTGTTTCTGAAGTGAATTACCTACCCCACCTTTAAGCATTTGTAAACAATTATAGTCACAAATATTCGCTCAATAGTGGTGAGTGAGTAAATTGAGTGGTATTGCTCTTTATCTTATTGAGTCAAACAGTCACCTGGTTGAAGTCCTTCTGTCTGAGGTAGGTGATCGCTTTGTTTATCTCTAGATCGTTGGCGAGCTCGATATACTGAGAACTCTTCACTATGTCCACACACCTAACAACAAAAATAAGTGTTAATTATGCATGTATAAATATTTATTTTGTGTACTGTTCATTTGACCAATTAACCAGGCACATGCAAGCTGCTGCTGAGGCTGCATTTTTATTTTGTTTGCGTGTGTAAGTTGATCTAATTTATGATGTGTATTGTATGCCCTCTGGTGTTAAGATTTAACATTGACAAATAAAACAAACATAATAATAACAAACCAGTCAAATCCGGTAGCAAAAGATGTTTCAATGGCAGGAGCGATGAGCTTAGCTGCGGTCATGATGTACTTCTCAGCCAGGACTTTGCTATATACAGCGTACAGGGAGAAAACAGGATACATATTTAGGACATCAAACAGAACACAGAAAACAAGGGTATGCATTGTATTTGAAATGCACAGTGCCCGGGGAGCAATGGGAGTGAGGGGGGAAGGGGGGTGTCCGGTGCCTTGCTCAAGGGCAACACGGCAGGGCAGGAGGTGAACTGGGACCTCTCCAAGTAGCAGTCCACACTCCATATTTTAGGTCTAGTCGGGGACTTGAACCGGCGACCCTACAGCTCCCAGTCCAAGCCCCTACTGACTGAGCCACTGCCGGGTGTATACGGATGATCATGTTTGTTTGTACTGTGTAAAGTTTTCTTACAGATTTCTCTCCATCTGGTGAAGCTTGTCATTCTTTATGGCTTCGATGACCATATTTGAGTCGTTGTCATCCTGAGAGAAAAGACAGGACAGGGTTAAAATTAAGATACTAAGACAGGGAATGTCCATGCAGTCGTCATAGGTGTACAATGTCAATCATTAACTGCATTTTCAGCCAAGTAACACACATATGAGGTTTTTTGTTCAAAGTAAATTCATTTTTATAAGATCAAAGGGGTTCTGTAAATTAGTGTTCTTGCAGCCAAAATAAATGCTGATATTGCCCCCAATTGGGTAAATATTGTAATAGGAAAATGTAACTTTCATTTGCAAAAGAAAATACATTTTCTAAATTGTAACTCAGAAAAGGGTATCTGATTAAAAGAAATGTCTTACTCATGTTTACGTTGTTGTCCTACTGTCCTATATTACTGGTTCTTCATGAAATAAAAAAGCATCTACATCAAGACCAAGATATTGTCTTAAGATGTTTAAGGGAAAATACATTTATGTTTAATGTGAATAGTATAAACCAGGGGTGTCAAACTCAAATACACAGTGGGCCAAAATAAAAAAAATGGGTACTAGTCGAGGGCCGGACTGGTTCAATGTTTATTGCGAAACTTATTGAAATGAACTTATTGCACATATTAAACCTGGAACTAACAAAGCTTAAATGATTGCCTATAAAAACAACATTAAACATTAAATAATCAGTTGCATTCATTTCTTATGGCTCTATCTGCAGCTTTTCCAGAGTCATTTCTTATGATTACATTTTTCCACAGGCCAACAACAGCTTCAAAAAAACTATTTCCCTCAAAGAAAAAACCAAACATGCCCTGCTGTCGCAAGAAAGAAAGTGCAGAAGGAAACATCCATTGAAACTGAAAGTATGCTGCTCTGTGATGCTAGTTCAAGCCAGATACTTGGCATCTCATCTTGGGTGCAAGTTCATCAATGTTTGGGGTCAGGCTCTGAGCTGAGGAAATCTTCAGGATTGAGTGAAGAAATTATCCTGCGGGCCGAAATTAAATCCACCAAGGGCCTGATTTGGCCCCTGGACCTTGAGTTTGACACATATGGTATACACAAACAGACATAGCCATTTAAGACATTCACACACTTGCAGTACACACACAAACAAGGAGAAAAAAGACAAATAACCCTTTAAATAATTATAAATAAACATATTACTGCTACTCACATTAGATGGGATGTACTTGTCTTCATCGTCGATGCCCAGAGGAACAGAGATGAGTTTCTGAAAGGCCTTCTTCATCCTCTCCCTGTCTCCGATGGCGTAGTAACACAGGATGAGATTAAAGCCCGTCTTGATGTTGGGGCTCTCGCTCATGATGTGCTCAAAAGAAGTTATGGCGTCTGAATATTGGCCCATGCGGACAAAAACCACGCCGATATCCTGCATGATCTTGATTCTCAGTTCTTTGTGAGCGTTGGAGATCTGATCCAGAGCCATCCGGTAGAACTTGATGGCTTTGGGGTAGCTCTTCTGTTTCACGTAGATGTTGGCCATGTTGACTTTCAGGCGTCCTGGATCAGGGCAGCAAAGATATAGTGAGTGGGAAAAATCACAACAAGGGTACAACTGATCCATCACATAATGCCACATTCTGCTCACCTGCGTTACTAAACATCTTGTTCTTCACGATGACCTGGTAGCTGTTCAGAGCCTCTGGATACATTTCATTGTTAGCGTACTGGTTGGCAAGGTTCAGCAAAACCTGAAGATAGCAGAACATTTTAACATTTCTAAATTAAATAATAAAAACAGACAGGAACAGATTCAAGAATATAGAGGCTCATTTTCTGTGAGCTGTGCCTCCATACAGTAGCTGATTTGTTAGGTGAAGTAAGAATTAAGATTACACAACTTCATCACCAATTATCTCCACAAACGGACCATTTATTGTATCACAGATAGTTACTTGGAATGTAAAACTAGGTTTTTTTTTTCATTAAGTAACTAATAAGAAAGAAACAAGCTTAAAGGTGGGGTAGGTAATTTTGGAGAAACCAGCTTGAGTGCGCTAGAATTTGAAAATACACAGCCGGAAAAAATCTGCCACTTCCTTACAGAGCCCCTCCTCCAACACACACGAACGCGCACATGACCAATGAGGGCACGAGATAAGTTTGTGCACAGATGGAAGGCTGACAGGCAGGTAGGCCATCCAGTTATTTTAGCCGCTTTTTACAGTACTACAGCTTCCACAGATGAGATTTTTTTATGGATTTTTTGTCAAAGCACTTAAGATATTCATTGCTATCGGGATGTTAAGAGCATTCCATGGAATATAACAAAAAGTGTATCTCGAGCCGGTTTCTCAAACTTACCTACCCCACCTTTGAGTGTTCTTTTCCAAAAGGGGCTTATCGTGTAAGAAGCAAGTACTGTTTTATTATACAGCATTTGAACATCTTTGTAATACAGCAGATGTACTTACAGAGTAGGTGAGGTCCAGATTGATGTGTTCAGCATTGCCAGATTGTTCCCTCTGTCTCACCAGAGCTCTCTCCTTCCTCCCCGCCTCTTTGGCTTTTTCAAGTGCCTGCAGAAACACATCAGTAACATGACATACAGTAAGGAGACATGCACCTGTCAACATTTTAGGTTTAACAACTCCTGGCAGATAATGTTTTACTTTCTCACTTGGAGACCCTTCCCTCCAAATAAAAACAGCCATTATTACTACACAGTATGTTAAAGGATGACAGAGTCTGACCAGTTGTAAGGCTCCAATGCTCTGTGCCATACAGCTCTCTTCTATCAGGTCGTTCACTTTCTTCTCCAGGATCTTGATCTTCTCCTCAGGCCTGCATGAGCCCAGACACAGCATTAGCAATGTTTGATAATATAATGTTTGACATGTGACTTTTTTCTCACAGAATGCTTAGGGGGAAAACGCTAAACAAAACACTGAAACCGTTAAAAGAGAGACAACTCACGTGTCCTCATTCTTTCCTTCAAGTGGAGGAGCAGGGCCTTTGGACTGGCCCAGAGGGTCAAAGGTTGAGCCTGAAAATACAAATTCAAACTAATTATTATACCATAAAGTTTACATAATAACAATCAAATAGGGAAACATAGGTTTATTTATATAAATTGCATAATAACTTTTTTTCTTTTGCCAAAATTGGGCTAGGGCCCTAAAATAGGGGAGCCTTCTATCTCAATACAGATTTTTAAAGTTTTAGCAGTGACAAGAAAGTTCTGTTTGTGACTGCCTTGAACTCACCACGGGTCAGGGAGGAGGTGTAACCGGCTGCTCTGACTGCAGTCATTGGTCGGGCTGCTCCATCCTGTCACATTCAAAAACAGAGCTATAGTTAATGTTGAGCAGTACACTAAGGTGCTATAGAGCCTTGAGTAAAATCATGATATTTAAAGGATGTCAAAATACACATGACTTCACTACAAAACCCTTAACACAAACTATACTGATTGCATTAAAAATCATGAAGCATGAGTACTATGTAAATAAGATTAATTACTGTCATGTAATATATAATGCACAATCTTTAATTCCTCTCACCTGCACAGCTCCAGTCATAGGTCGGCCCATTGAAGAGGCCAAAGGGATCCGAGCCTGAACAAAACAATAAATATTAAAACATTTCATTTTAAACAGGTTTTTCCAAATATCTTCTTATATTATTTAATGTCAATGTACTTACTCCAAATGCAGTAGCTAACGGTCGAGCTCCAATGGCAGTGCCAGGAAATTTAGCAGTCATCTGAATAATTAATAGATATTTACTGCATTTATAATGTTACTTCAAATTTCACTTTCAAGTATCAGTACCAACAGTAAATTCAAATAAACTAAAGCCATCACATAAAAGTTGTATAGTAGAAGTATAAAGTAGTATAAACTCGAAATACTGAAGTTAACAATGTACGTAAGTAAGTAGCAACCTCAAGATTGCACATAAGGGCAGTAGTTGAATAAATGTATCACTAAAACACAATAACATTACAGTCGGTACTTACAGGAGGTCTCCTTCCATGACTTGTCCTTACTGCTTGTTGAAATCCCACATCATTCTCCAACTCCTTGAAAATTGGTGAATAATTAGTCTTAAAACTTCACATACACATTTTCAAATGCAATTTATATTGTATTGTATTGCAGTGCTTGATGAAACATTGTATTGATAACATTTTCAATTAGTTGGAACTGGACTTTTTAATTAATGTGCACTGTCCCTGTTAAATACAAAAATAATGAATAGTAGATGTTGTACAAGCAATTTAATAATTAAAAATAAATATATCATTCATTTGTATCATTGTTCGCTGTAATTACACTTGAATGCTAATAGTTTGAGCTAACTACATGCCAACTTCAGAGCGAGCTAAGATAGCATTGATGCTAACTTACTTCGGAGTCAAATGTTGGATTATAGTCGTTGTAACCCGAATAAATATCCTCCTCCTCCACAGCCAGATGCACATTTTCCATTTCTCTCTCCCTGCTGAGGTTGTGCAACAAAACGCTCATTAAAATGACAAAAAACAGGTATCTATCGGATGTAACAGCGAAGATTAGTTTGTTGTCGTTTCAGGATAAAATCCCAGAATTCAACGCGGCGTGGGAGGGGCAGTTCAGAGTTTCAAACCTCTGATTGGTCACTTACGTGTCAATCACCAATCTTCTTTTACATGATTGGCCAAAGTTGATTTCATCCGTTGCTAGGATACAAGTGCAAGCTACCCGTTGGGTTTTAGTCGTTTCTAGCTCCGTTTTAGGTTTGTCTCAAATTAAAAGCTAGTGTTATGTTTTTATAACATATAATTTACCAGTGCAGGTATTCAATGTCGGATTTATATATGTATTGATATGTTGTCCCCCTTTGGGTTTATTTGACCCCTCTCGGTTACCGTACCGGTATCTAGCAACGTGACTTTAGAGGGGCGGTACCACAGCAGCTTCGATAGAAATAAAACTGTTCTGGTTTGTAATGTTATTCTGAGCTGATCTCTTCAAAATACATTACAATGAGTTCTTCTGATATGAATACCATTACTGTGATCGGCAGGTGAGCAAAACCATATTTTCTTTTAGGGACTTAAAATGATGCTTCCAGGTAATGAGCTAAGCTAGTTGAGGAAAAGTCTCATTGAGCTGGTATGAAAAATCATTTATGCTAATAAGGTATTGCCGCATTTGCATTTTTTTTTAATATGCTGCATATCATTTTAGATTAGGCCTAGTGATTGCATTGCACTGGTTGTAGCTAACGTTTCCAGAAATGTTCCTGACGTCTTGTACTTTTCAATTACTTTTCATTATGTAACCTATTCGTATTAGTTACATTTTGTGTTTTTGTGTTGCAAAATGCAGATTGCACAATTTAAGAACAATATATCACTCTATTATAATAAGTGTGGCATTGATATGTTCATTACTGTCGCTACTGGTGAAGGTGGGCTGCTTGGTAGTTTAACCCTAATAAAACGTCATGATTTATAAGTTAAAATGTATGTTTTTGCATTGAAATCTCCACCAAAATTGCTTATGCTGTTAAATATGAATATTTGTGGAGTAGGATTATAAACTGGAAGTTCGCAACCCATGTAAAGTACACAAAAACACACATTTGATTAGAGAATCTGCTGTAAACCCACAGAGTGAAGTTGTACGCTGTCTTGCCATATTTATGTTGACTGTTAATTAAAAAAGATTATCGAAACACAACAAAATGTAAACCTCCTTTTAACCACGAGCCAGAAAGATTAGAGACCAAACAAAAAATTAGGGTACAATAATAGTATCCCTGGCTTACATTTCAACCTGTATTTCTGCACCCCGTTCATTATTTCTACACACTCAGCTAAACTTGGCTGTCCTCTGGAGTGACCTCTCTTAACCGTCGAAACGTAAATACTAAAGGTCACAGCCAAATATTCACTTCTCTGTTGTTAAACTTTGAGTGTTCAATTTACTTTATTTAACAGTGTACATTGAGGTAGTGATGGTGCAGCAGACATATTATAGTAACATATTGGATTGTTGAATGGGATTTCGTTGTTATTACAGAGAATACAGCCAAGATATATAGCCTCCCAACCATAGACTGTATATATAAGCTCCCAACTGAGATACGGGATTGTCCCACTCTCAATAGCTTCAAAGGTCAACTCAGAGAATGGTTGAGAAACAAAAATCCGCGCAATCACCGCTAAATGCACTTTAACACAGGGGTATCTCCTCTTGCACTTTGTGTAACTCTTGTATCTCCTCTTGCACTTGATATGTCGTTGCTGCTATATTGTATCACCATGTCATAAATACTTGTGTATGCTGCTCTTGCTCTTTTGCACCTTTTGCATATCATGTATTTTGTTTTTGCTATGTTTGTAAAATGTAATTTTCTTAAATGTTTTATGTGAGGGACTGCGGATGGAAATTAGCTCAAAGCTAAATCTGGCACTGTTACGCTTGATACATTTGAATGTTTTAAGTGTTCATTACTGTGCATTGTCCCTGTCAAATAAACGATTAAATACAAATACAAGAGTGAACATCCTAAAGCTTTATTTGTGTTTTGTTTCAGCGGGCTGATTGGCCGCTCCTGGGCTATGGTTTTTGTCAGTGGAGGCTACAGTGTGAAGATCTATGACAACCAACCAGGACAGGCTGTCAAGGCCATCGAAGAGATCAGGTCAGGTGGTTTTTATGGTTGTTTTGCCATTAGATGCATGTAGCTGTAAAACATTGAAGGGATCATTAACAAGACGTCCAGTGACTTCCCCTCACTATACAGACTCATGGACAAACACCCGTTCCAACCTATAACTCTCTAATAGCTTAGTCACTGCTAGTTAAACATTACTGTGGAATGACAGAGGGATTTTGGGAGAAAAAAACCACCTAATATCTAGTAAAGAAAATCTACAGCCCTCACAACTGTGAAATAAACCCAAACTCTAAACCAGGATCGAACTATTTTATATTTGTATTTATCATTGAACGTATCTGCCTCTATCTGGGATTCAGCTGCCTGTATGAACAGTAGAGGGTGATATTGTGTGTGATTTCTTGCTGAATAAGCTAAAAACAAATGTCCCTAAGCATGCGCCCTGTTTTGACAAATTCAGTTTACTCCACATTTGCTTTGAATAGTAATCAGATATGACGCTGACTCATCCGATCTGAATAATAGCTGCTTCTCTGCTACCATGATTGACAGCCAGTTCATTTTTGTTGTATTTTATCTGGTAAACCAAACTGACAGCATTCAGGCATCCTAACACACTTTTCTTAACATTTTCCCTGACATTTCCGGTTGTTTTGCTCCCTGAGTTAAAGGTGGGGTAGGTAATTTTGGAGAAACCAGCTCGAGTGCGCTAGAATTTGAAAATACACAGCCGGAAAAAATCTGCCACTTCCTTATAGAGCCCCTCCTCCAACACACACGAACGCGCACATGACCAATGAGGGCACGAGATAAGTTTGTGCACAGATGGAAGGCTGACAGGCAGGTAGGCCATCCAGTTATTTTAGCCGGGCCGGCTAAAATGATTGGTCGTGCTTTTTACAGTACTACGGCTTCCACAGATGACATTTTTTTATGGATTTTTTGTCAAAGCACTTCAGATATTCATTGCTATCGGGATGTTAAGAGCATTCCATGGAATATAACAAAAAGTGTATCTCGAGCCGGTTTCTCAAACTTACCTACCCCACCTTTAACTTAATTTAAACTATGCTTTTATTCCATGTCATACAGTCATATGTTTCAAGCTGCTTCTTTGGAGAAAGTGTGTGCGTGTGTGTTAACTGCTCTGTTTCCTGTGTGTGGTTCAGGAAGCAGCTGGAGGAGCTGGAGGAGGCTCACATGCTGAGAGGAGATCTGAGAGCCAATCAGCAGCTCGCTCTGATCAGCAGCCACGATGATCTGTCTCAGGCGCTGCAGGGAGCCTTCTTCGTTCAGGTGACACACTCACGACTCCCAACACCAGCACATGATGTTCCCCATATGCTCAAACACACATAGATCGGTCTCTGCTGATCTTTCATATTATAAATTATGTTTTACTATGCACATTACTGTGGGCCTTTTTTTTTTAACTATATACACTGCTGGGTCCAGGTTGCAGTCTTATCTTTTTTATTATACACATATTTGCCTCAGTGGTATTTTTAAATGTATATACTATCTGTCTTAACAGGAATGCTATATCGGTGTGATTACAGTAATCTTTAGTACATTATGTTCTGGTATTTTCAAAATTACCCTAATTGTCCTCAAGAGGGCGCAATATCATTGGTTAATTTGTGTGACTGACTACACTACCTCGGACAGCACTGATTACGTTTTGAATAAAGCTCAACCCACTGTACGCAGCTGAGTTTGGGCATTTTGCAAAGTATAAACCATTTCTCCATTCGTGGATTGTATGTGTAGTAAAGTAGGGTCTCCAGGATTTAAAGTGTAAGAACAATTTGAACATATTTGTCACAATAAATGTTCTCTTTGTGGATTTTGAAGTTGATAAAGGGCTAATGTTTCAGACGGTTGTGTTTTACCACGTATTTACTGCTAATAAGAACCAAAACTTGAACAAGCTATATTATAAAGAGTGACGTAAATACCACCAGTGGCTTATCGTCATAAAAGTTGCTCTGCTGTTAAAACAAGACATTTAATACCAATCAATCATCTTGTCTTAGTCGTGCTAAGAACACAAACACGCGCTCAACAACAGACACACGCTAAAGAGAAAGTTATCCTCTTAAGCCAAGAAAATGTCTTTGCCACCATGACTCTGTTAAAGCAGACAATAGTCCTCTTCATCACAGAGGTGGTGATGAGAGCACAGAGACAGGTAGGGCCAGCATAAATCAATACTGTGTACAGAGTTCACATTAACAAGGAAAAATAGAGGACTTATTGGAAACAGGAAACATTTTCCTATTGAGATAATCATCATTTTCTGATAGCATGACGCCATCTGATGCAAATCTTCCCATGTAATGATCCATGTATTTCTGGAGGAAAGAGAGGTTTGCTTGAGTCCGATTGGTTACAGTGACTCACCATCAATCCATTCTTGGGGATCAGTACAGGGCATACCTGGAGATAATAGACTCCACTCCTCACATTCCTCACCTCTGTCTATACAGTATGTTTCCATATCCAGCATCACAATATAACACACGCATTCAGAAGGTAAGGCCGCTCGCTCAGCCAGTTCTTTCAGTTCCAGGCGTGTGATGAGAGCCGTTTGAAGAGCAAATTAATAATCCATTGTCGTTTGACAGCCACACCTTTGTAACACTCAATCAAATCAAATCAGCTGAGCCTGTTTGTATCCAGTTAACACTTATTGTTGATTTATTGTTTGTTTTGTTTTTGCTTTAACTAAAAAAAGATGGATGGAAATGTACAAAGTCAATTCGCACTCACATTTTATCTCTACTAATAGTTTTGTTTTCATTTTTAAGGGTACATTCTCAATAAAGTAGTTTAAAGCTTACTTATAATTGTGATGATTCAAGTTTAAAAATTCACTGTGAAGCTTCTTTGGTGCTCTGTCAATATATAAATATTGAGTAACTAATATAGGGGTTTAGATTGTACGGTTTTCTTATTACTATTGTTTTTATATCGCAAGTAAACTTTGAAAAGTGGGAGCAAAATAAAAAATACTGTACTGTGTGTTACAAAGACTTAGGCCATAGATCATATGTACTTACTGTGTTACAGAAATTCTCTCATTTACACTTTCCCTGTGTGCCTGTGTTTTCCAGGAGTGTATTTTTGAACAGCTAGATGTCAAGCAGAGCGTCTTCCAGGACATAGAGCGTCTCGTGGGAGAAGACATCATCCTGAGCAGCTCCACCTCCTGCCTGGTGCCCAGCAACGTCTTCTCTAAAGTCCAGAACAGGACTCGCTGCATCGTCTCCCACCCGGTTAGTGATCCTACAGTCAGGGTACCAGCGAGTAGGGTTAAGGGATTTTAGTCTTATTGACTACAAACTGGGGAAGACAGCTTAGTTAATTCCCCAATCATGTATTAACACATACCTCACCCTTAGCATAGGCAAGGCAAGGCAAGTTTATTGATATATCACTTTTCAGCACGCGACAATTCAAAGTGCTTTACAAAACAAATGAAAATACTTTTTAGGAATAAATACAGTAAAAACACATTATATAAAGGCATTTTACAACAGGCATTAAAAAGCAAAGATAATAAAATAAACACAACAGGTATACAATACATGTTTAAATGGCATACTGTAGTGCGAGTATGAGCAGCTCAATTAAAAGCAGCGGCAAAGAGATATGTTTTCAGTCTCGATTAAAAAATAGTATGAGTTTCTGCAGACGTGCATGATTTGGGTAGTTTGTTCCAGATTGTCGGGCCATAATAGCTAAACGCTGCCTCTCCATGTTTTGTTTTTACTCTCGGAACCGATAGCAGACCCGTCCCAGAAGACCTGAGGCACCTTGATGGCTTGTAATTATGTAGGAGATCAACAATATACTTTGGTCCTAAACCATGTAATGATTTAAAAACTAGCAATAGTACTTTAAAATCAATTATTTGGCCGACTGGAAGCCAATGTAAAGATTTCAGAACCGGACTGATGTGATCCACTCTTTTAATGTTAGTGAGGACACGAGCAGCGGCGTTCTGATGGATTTTTTTGGCAGCCCTGTGAATACACTTTTGCAGTAATCGAGTCTGCTGAAAATAAAAGCATGGACAAGCTTTTCTAAGTCCTGTTGTGACATTAGTTTTTTAATCCTAGATATGTTCTTCAGGTGATAGTATGCAGGCTTAATGACTGTTGTAATGTGACCGTTAAAATTCAGGTCTGAGTCCATCACTACACCCACATTTCTAGCTTTACTAGTTGTTTTGTAGTCTGCCGACTGAAGCTCTGCGATTACTTTTAATCGGTCCTTCTTTGCTCCAAAAACAATGATCTCAGTTTTTTGTTTGTTCAGTTGGAGAAAGTTCTGAGTCATCCAGTCAGTGATGTGCTCAATGCACTTGCTCAGTGTTCTAATCGGAGAATAGTCTCCTGGTGTAATTTTAAAATAAATCTGGGTGTCGTCTGCATAGATATGATAGCTTAGATCGTTGTTTTTAATAATTTGAGCCAGTGGTAGCATATAGATATTAAAAAGCAAAGGTCCTAAGATGGAGCCTTGAGGAACCCCGCATATTTGTCAAGGTTGATGTGAAGTTACCTATTGTAACATACATGACTCCTATACAATAAAAGCAATTTTAGAAGCTTCCCAACTTTCATTTATCCTGCATCAATACTGTGTGCCTGCAAAAGTGAGCTTTAAAACTGCAAAGATTTGTCTACGAATTAATAATTGATCGACAAAGCAATAATCCATTAATCATTAAAGTTGTGTTCATGCAAAAATGGCAGAAAATGTGGAACATCTAGAGAGTTCCTGATTTTTTTCTTTAAGGGGTTCAAGTAAAAAAACATCAAGACATTTACATTTTAAATTTTATTTTTTAAAACAGGATTGCAGATTTCTAATGTTTTCTGACATTGTTTCACCACCTGCAAGGTCAAAAAGCACATGTTTAGATGATAAAAGTCAGATCATTATCACAATAATGCTGATGTGTTCTGAGATTGCATTTTGGCCAATATGTCCGACCTCTTTTGCTCCTAGATGAAGTGTTACCTGCATTCAACCAAAGTTCACTGAAAAAGTGATTGGTTAATTCTACAGTAGGTGGAATGCAAAAAGGAATCCAGAAAGCTTCAAATACCCAAATCTCTCCCATTCCTTATCTGTTTATAGAGATTATGCTGTACTTAACTATTGTACAATGACTGTTTGTCCTTTGCTCCACAGGTGAACCCACCGTACTACGTGAAACTGGTGGAGCTGGTACCTCACCCTGAGACAGCAGCGGCTGTTATGGACACCACCCACTCCCTGATGACCAAGGTAAAGATCACAGATTACAGATTACACAATCAGATGTCAGGACATGCTGGGGAGATGCATAACATGAGTCAATGTCAAGATTATAAGAAAGCCATACCGTGAAAGCCTGAAATCTAAATCAAGCAATACGTGAAAGAAAGAAGGTGTGACATCTTAGTCTGTAAATAAAGATACAAGTGTCTGAAATATATGATAACATGTAACACTTGTTCCTGTATAACCACACAATGTTTTTCTAAGCAAGTGTTTGCAAGTCACAACAAGTTACATTTCGAAACATGTTGACTTAATTGCCGTAAGGTTGGGCGTAGAGTAAATAAACATTTACTTCCGCTTAGAACACAAGCTTAGTATTTAAAGGGATATAGTGTTTTTATTCTTGATATCTCTGATGTCTCTTGGTTCAGGTTGGTCAGGCGCCCATCCGTCTGAAGAGAGAGATCGACGGCTTTGCCCTCAACAGAGTGCAGGCGGCCATTATCGCCGAATCCTGGAGGCTGGTGCAGGTCAGTGTCTCGCTTCTGTCCTTAAGTGAACCAGTGAACACACTTCTGACACTAGGGTGCAAAAAAATAAATACTTGTCCTGATTGCATCTACTTCTAAGACCCCTGCTTTTTCCTTTTGTAGTTATCTTCATTATATATGGCGTTAACAATAAGCAATTTTGCTCCCAATTTGCTGTTTTTCCACCTACTGCATGAGAGTAAAGAAGAAATGCTGATAGTGGTTCCTGATAGTAAAATAAATACATATACATACAGATGAACACACGCACAAACTGGTACCAGTCTACACTCGGTTCCCAAGTCCCTACAAACTGAGCTACTGCCGCTCCATGGAAGAACAGAGGGACATTTTTACTTGACTAAATCATTTATTATATGACAACTAATTGTCCTCTCAACAAAGCTTTATATCTACTTGAGCACAACTCCTTATTTTGAGTAAACCTTGCAAGTTTTAATGGGGAATTTTGTATCAGTACATTTAAATGTTTGATAATAATAATTTTGTCATAAATGAGTAAATATCTACCCAACGAAAAACACATTTTGATGTGTCATGACAACATTGTTTGGGTTAGTCTCTGGACAAAAGCTCCTCAGTCTCAGCGAGGCTTTGTGTGGCAGAGTATCACTGCTGATGGTTTTGTAATGGAGGCAGAGAAGAGGAAGCCCCCTGTCAGCTCACCTCTGCTATAATCTCCACGGACTCCTTCCAAAAAAAAAGGACCACAATGAGAGTAAACGAGCTTCAGCCGGCGATGACAGGCACCATTACATGATCACTCACGGAAGAAATGGTTGATGATAATGATAATCAGGACGAGGAGAGGGAAGACACTTGTAACCTGAACTGAACTCACCTGAAGACATGTCATTGTTATTCAGGATTTAATTGTGGCAGACATCAGATTTACCTCAAATTCACCTCTTTATTCATTGATGTGAGAGCAGAGCTTTCTGTAGAAGATTTGTGAACTGTTTTTCCAAATTTGTAATGGTACTTTCTGTCTTTTGTCTCGGTTTTAAGGCTCTTGCTTTTCTCTTTAGTTCTAATACTTGTTGCGTTGTATCATTAGCATGTCCGGTCTGTCAGTCACTCTCGAAAGCGTCATTTGGCTTATTTTCTCAGATTTGTCTTACAAATGTTTTCTGACTGTTAATATGATGTTGATTTTTTAACATTGGTGGAGTTCCCCTTAAAGACAAATAATAACTTCTTCAGCTTAGAAGATTTGAAACCAAATAACGAATAACTGTTGAGTAGATTTCAAGATGATTAAAGCTGTAATGAATTAGCCCTTGCCCAGTGGGAATAAATAAATACAGTATGCTTCAACAAATCCTATCCAAACCAGTTACCCCTCTGGGGACTGATACAGTTCTACTTGACTTGATCTCTCATTTCATGGCCGACACACACACAATCACACACACAATCACACACACACAATCACAGGACATAGTATCCCTGAAGACAGACTCAGATCTGCCTCTTTATACTCTCTTCTCTGTCCCCAAAGTGTAACAAAGAGCCTACCTTTCACAACTAAATCAGCACACTGTGTCCTTGTCCCTGATATTATTGTACTCCCAAGTTAGAGTTTGTAACTGTATCAGATGGCCACACACACACACACACACACACACACACACACACACACACACACACACACACACACACACACACACACACACACACAATGCAACTGCAGGTAACAACAAAACACTTCAAAGGAACTCAACAAAAGACTAGTAAACATAACTAACATGGCACAAAATTAACATCAATGTGGTTGTGACACTCAAAACCTGTTATTGCAAAAATATTTCTAGAAAGACAGTTGTTCCATTTAATTAACTAATGCAGTGTGTGTCCTTTTGTTTGTCTTGTTGTCATAAGCAACTCTAACTAGAGAACAAATATTGTCCAAATAAAATTCCACCCTTTTGTAAAAAGGGATGGGACATGTTTTACCCTCTTGGCATTATCGTTACCTCCCTTATATGGGAGACATGGAGACTTCTAAGTGTCACTCAGAACTGTTAATTCAAATTGACACACACATCGAAGGGAAATCTATTTTAAGTTACTCATGTGACTTAAAGGATTATTAACACTTCTCTACAGTGCTGACGAAGCATACATGCATGAAGGGATGTTTTCTAATGCAATACTAATGTTGGCACATTGCGTGTATTTTATGCCCTTATGAAAAGATGTTCATTCACTCGCATGATTTCATGACAATGAGGATGGACGTGGTCATGTCATGGCGTATCGTTTCTCATCAGACTCTCCCTCAAGTACACAATAGTCAGTACAAGATGAGTCATTACTAATGACGTGCACAAATGTGTTTTAATTTCCTTCTAAATTGTGGATTTGAAGACTTAAGATTTGAAGACTTAAGAAGAAGGCTATTTATAAAGAAGACATTCACATGAGATGTTGATGGATTTCACTTTCAAAATGGGTCTCAATGTCTCAAACAGCATTTAGGTCCCCCATCCTCTCATCTGCCTAACTCCCTCGTTATTGAGGATACAGTAGTCACCGGTAATGAGCGCATAGCAGAGCTCTTTAACCAGCACTTTGTTAAATGTGGGAACCTATTTGACTCTATAGCGCCTCCTAAGCCCCCCACCAACACTCCGCCACCCAGCCCCTCTAGCGCAGCCCCATGTCACAGATTCTGCCTGCAGGAAGTTAGTGAGAACGATGTGCTGGAGGTCCTTAGTAAACTTGACCCCAACAAACCTGCAGGTCTTGATGGGCTAGACCCCTTCTTTTTTTAAAGTTGCAGCCCCAATTATTGGATAAGCTATCTCCCACCTTTGTAATCTGTCCATACAGACAGCAGTGCTACCTTCTGCCTGGAAGGCAGCCTCAGTGCGACCTTTGTTTAAAGGGGGAAACCAAGCTGACCCCAACTGCTATCGTCCAATATCCATTCTACCCTGTATAGCGAAAGTGTCAAGTCTCCTCTGATTTTGGTGCAGATTCCCCACTTGAAAGGGACTTGAGGCATCTACCGGACTTTAAAACAGGATTCCACTCCAATGACACAGCTTTTTCTTTTCAGACTTTTTATTTCAGCAGTTTTACTTAAACCAAATGTCCAATTGCTGAATGGGTATTTTGTGTAGTGAAAAACCTTTGAAAACAAGAAAGATGCATTTTAGAACTTGCAAGTTATCAAAATAAATAAAGCATGTAAACATGTAAATAAAGCATGTAACCAATACACTTAATTGTGGATATGTTACAAAATAGACTGAGCCGACTAAACACAGAAATATCCTTTTAAACATGAAATTGTTTCTTTAAACCCAAGCTCTTTTAAAGGTAGGGTAGGTAAGTTTGAGAAACCGGCTCGAGATCGCTAGAATTTGAAAATACACAACCGGAGAAAATCTGCCACTTCCTTACAGAGCCCCTCCTCCAACACACACGAACGCGCACATGACCAATGAGGGCACGAGATAAGTTTGTGCACAGATGGAAGGCTGACAGGCAGGTAGGCCATCCAGTTATTTTAGCCGGGCCGGCTAAAATGATTGGTTGTACTTTTTACAGTATTACGGCTTCCACAGATGATATTGTTTTATGGATTTTTTGTCAAAGCACTTAAGATATTCATTGCTATCGGGATGTTAAGAGCATTCCATGGAATATAACAACAAGTGTATCTCGAGCCGGTTTCTCAAACTTACCTACCCTACCTTTAAAATCTCAGCAGATTTAATTAACTGGACTTTACTAGAAATGTTTTTAACAAATCAAATGAATTACATTTAAACAAGAAAATATACTTTCCTCCATTTCCGCAGGAACACTCAGTGAACCAAACCAACAGCACCCCATTAGAAAAGTTTCAGTAAATCGAAATGAATACCCTCTAAGAATAAATATTTCATTGTGTTTATTTATTCATTGTTCTTCTCCAAATCAACTTATTTAACCTCCCAAAATCGTATTCCCTTTAACAATAAATAACAGAGCGTCTAAGCTCAGAATGCTTTGAAAAGCCAGCGCACCAAATTGAAACACTCAAACAATGAGGCGCAGAGTTCCAAAGGAACACGTGGCTCATGCGCAAACAATCCACCAGAACATAAACATCCCAGCGCACCGTGACTCTGCGGAGCTCTCACACAACACCATGGATCTTATCGGCTGCCTGTGCTAACTTGGTAGAAATGCCTCCCGTCTACATGCTTCAGTGTTTTCTCCCCGGCTCGCACGCACCAACTATTTAACTCCTTCTTCAGGATGCAGCACCGGGGCTCTCTGATTAGGTCAATCAATCAATCAATGTTTATTTATATAGCCCAATATCACAAATGTTACATTTGTCTCAGTGGAGTTCACAGTTTGTACAGAATATCAGTATGACAATACGACACCCTCTGTCCTTAGACCCTCACATCGTACAAGGAAAAACTTCCAAAAAAGGAAAAACCCCACAGTTTAAAGGGGAAAATGGGAGAAACCTCAGGGAGAGCAACAGAGGAGGGATCCCTCTCCAAGGACGGACAGACGTGCAATAGATGCCGTGTGTAAATTGAAAAGATAATACATTTACAACATAGGTAGTCCAAATGTTTGGAAATGCGTGTGTCTATAATAAGAAGATGAATCCACGAGGATATCCATCCAGGACTCATGATCCAGGACCACAGCAACAGGCACAGCCACGACTGAAGATCCAGGGCTCGCGATCCAGGACTCAGGACCACAGCAACAGGATCAGCCATGACTCAGGATCCCGGCGTAGATAGACACCAAAAAGAAATTTGGGGAAGCTGGGTTATTCGGAACATGAGAGTACACAGGTACAGACAGAGAGAAGGAAGAAGTAAGGTGTCCCCCGACAATCTAAGCCTATAGCAGCAAAACTAGGGGCTGAATCTAATCAGCCCTAACTATAAGCTTTATCAAAAAGGAAGGTCTTAAGCGCACTCTTAAAAACGGATAGGGTGTCTGCCGCCCGAACA